TAACATTTAGGCAGCGAATATAACGCGAGCTATGCGAGACGAAGAGCCGAGAAGGATATTGGGTGAGTGAAAACTCGTACACATGATAGGTAGAGCTTAAGCCGACCCACTTGGGACACCACTAATTCGAGTTCCCATTTATGTATATATGTGCATATTCCTAAAAAGAGAGCAAGGCGCGTATTTATGTATTTCGGGTAAGCGCGGGGCTAAGTAGGTGCGTTATTGGTTTAAATTTTTTGTTGGCTTAGACCACTACAAGTGCTGCCACTGCGACTGATGAAAGATTATCACATGCATCGGAGACCCAAACTCTCGCGCACCCACATTGTTATCGGTGTTAGGCCGGCGTTCGCAAAAGGTAAAAACGTTTACGGTGCACCGTTGTTTATAGCTCTGTTGTAGGGAGCATAGGGAGCGAACATGTTCTTCGCAAGAGCTTTCCGATCGATCCCAATACCTACTAGATAGACAGGTGAATAGATAAAGCGCAGCAAAATTCGACACGACTCGGCGTATAGTCATCGTATCTGTCAAATTCCCATTAAGTGTCGTCTTTCCACTGTGAGATTTGACGGACTCATGGAGAGTGCAATGAAGAATTATTGCGTATATCCATATTACCCTTATAAACGTTTAGTTCACCGCAGCAAGATGGGGCTTGAGCGATCCGAATTGAGAATTTCATTTCGCAACTACTTCCTCGACTTTTCCAGCCTTTCTTCTTTCGTTCAGGTGTATGGGCCAATTTTGAGCATCAAAGTGGAGAACGATTTCCTTCTATAGGCCGAAATGCGCGAGTTCAAATACACATGCATAGTAAGCCAACAGTCGAAGTAATTGTTGAGAGTTACAGCTGTCTGTGCTTGAAGCTGTTGAAAACAACGAGGCCATATAAGCCACGGAGCGGCATTAACGCTCCATCATACCAAGAGCGTAGCGAAGCAGATGAGACCTTTTTGGAGACTCTTCCCAGTTTCAAATGTGCACCGATCCAGATAGGCATGCTGTTGTAGTGCTTCTACATTTCTGTTCTTACTGATACCAAGAGCAACAGTGTTAAAGGGCTTATTTAGAATAGAGGCGTATCGGGTACTTGAAATGAGGTTGTGCTATACAGTTAAAGGATTGTTATTGGACGTATTGAATGGGATACTAAAGGTCCCCTGACTGGCATGAGGGGTTAGCCGTAATATGGCGTTGACTTTTCAACTCTAAATATTGGTTTGAAGGGTCATAAATATATCATATTTTGACTGACTGATGCTAATATGAGCTGAATAAATCTAGCTTCAAGAGAGTTGGAGCTTTGATCCACGGCTAAATTCTCTCCAACGCACTACTGCGACTATGAAGTTGTCCGCAAAACAAACTTCAATCTGTCACGCGAATATTTGACGTTATTAGATTACCATTAAATAATAACGCCACATGTATGCTATCGTCGAAGTTAACCAATCTCAATTTATGGGATGATTATTAGATCAAGGTGCCATCGATACGTTGATTCTACTCTGTTATTAAAGTTGTTATTATTCCACCACTTGTTATTTATCGGAGGCATTTGCATTCAGGTGTGGCCCAACGATTCGAGTTAATAGGACCTAGTCTGATATAAAAGTAACAACTAAAATCTACTTCAAAAAAAAAAAACGCTCCCCTAGTTATTTCGTTATTATCGACATTTTCTAAAGACGCAGGTGGTCATTGTCAAGTAGCATTCGTTCACAACGAATCCACCAGGAAAGTGTTATTAAACTTAGAAGGCACAAAAATATATTTGCGATGTAATTTTAGGACTTAAGGTGAGTTTCCGTCCTATTCAAGGCATAATAGCTTTGCATCGATGTACATTTTAACTGTAAGCTAGGAAAGCCAATGGGTCATTACCCTATACTAAAGCTACCATGTACTAGAATATTGTCAATTTAACCTTTTGAAAACCTCAGCGTACGCACTTCGATAAGTAGAAACGCTAACGTCATAATCTACTTCTACTGGTGAGCTGTCCTTTGCTCTTTTCTGGTCGAAATCACATCAAACAATTATAAAAAAACGAACTTGGCGGACATTTCGAGGAACTTCGTGTTTTCAAAAAGTAGTGCATCCAGGAATTGCTTCAATATAAAATGCATTAGGATATCGGCAATGGGAATTGTTATTAGGATAAGTTACTGTATCTGCGTTATTGTGCACCTTTCATAATACGATACATTTCTAAATAATAGTTTTTACTGGTACTAGGTGAATATTAGTATTTTTTGGAAGTTTGAAAAAACACTACTTTTAGGTGAGACTATGAAGTACGTCTATATGGGGTTCGATTCGCGCTCGAAGCCTTAACTCAGAAATCGGCTCCCAAAAAAAGATAAATTTGTTGTTTATATCGTTATTGGGCACTATAAACACGCGGTTGCGCATTGGACTACTTTTAGGTTAACGGACAAACGACAGCGAACATCAATGTTTATTCCACCCAACAACTATGATAAATATATCGTTGGTTCTTGACAGAAACATTGGAACTATTGACCACAAAACCGTTACGGCCGACGCTCATTATGAAACGCTTGAAAAGCGCTTCACAGCTCGGCCAGCTACGGAACCAGGCGATTTTATCAAAGGCCACTGGCCAAAGAGCACTGATTTCTGCCTAACAAGGGAAGCTGACAGCAACCGGCTAGAAACAAAGTCGAGAGGTATCTTTCAGGACCTTATTTCGACATTCTTGCTTCGAAATGAAATTAAAAGTACTGAATATCGTCGATCTATTTCTGGCCGAGGTTGACAAAGGCGAGAAGACTAACTGGAATTCTGGCGAAAGTCTCATAGTCATGAAGTTCAGACAAGTGTCTTTTTATGCTTTAAGGGACTCTGGCAAAAAATAAAATAGTTTCTTGTGTACAGCGTACGAGCGAGCATACATAATCTGCATTGTTACTATAGTAATGATCATAACGCTCCTATGTGTTATCACTGATGCTTAGTGGCTCAATTCATTTCTACATGAATCAGTCATTGAAGCACAAATGAAATGAGTTGAAGTGCTGAGGAATGTATTTGAAGCCAAGGAAGATACGAAACATTGTTTATAAGCGGCTTTTCATAAAAATTGGATTATAAAGTCACCGTTCTCTTTCAGGAAATAGCTTTAATTATTTTAATTTAAGTGTGTCACAGGACGCTTTAGAGGGTCATCTTACTATTTCACTTATACTAGCACTTTACGCCGACTGGCTGAAAAAGCTAGCGAGCGAAATCAATGTTACCATCGAGATCGACGCTCCTACGATCAAAAATTATAAGATGCTACATTCAACGAAAGTCTTTGTATGAAAACATTATCGAATAATGCCACTGGCCGCCTTCACGACCTGGCCGTCGACCTCGGCTACGACGCTTGCAAGTTGTTCGGTTTTATCAAAGTTGTGTGGAAGCCCGAAGTGCAAAAAGCCTTTATACGACCGAGAAAAACTATATCAGAACGCCATTTGAGCCAAAGTGCTACGAAGGTTTAAACTTCACGCCGCTGAAGATCGTCCAGATCCACGGTTCTGATGGGATTTCATTTTTAGGAATTAAGAGTTAACAATTTCGCTTTGGGTCGCAAAGCTTTGTTGCGCGTATAAGTATTTATCCAGATGGAATTTTCACATATCTTACAGCCATGTATCGATGATGTAAATGTGCCATACAGGCTGTATTTCCAGTCGCATTATCAGGTCACTCCTACATTCTTGTTTGCTTCTCAGTGGTTCCTGTTGAACTTTTCGGATTGCAAATGTATAGCCTAAAAGTAAGACCGCATAATGGGCACATATACAACTGGCAATCACATACAACTGCTACCCGATTCTGCTTCAGCAAACATCCAACCGTACAATCTACGAGCCCGAATTACCTCACTTTATATGTGCCAGAATAGCCTGCGGTGACTTCCGTGTTACCTTATGGCGGCTTTTATGTACTTCGTTTTTTCCTTACTGCTTCTTCACATCAAAGATATAATGAACTTACTATATTTACACTTCAACAATTAAGCCTACCGCAGTAATTATAATTGTATGCAAGCGATAATAAAGAGGTAAATGTTCCCTTTCCATAATTAGTTCACTGTTAATTGAAAGTGTTACCCGTCTCTGCATAAGCCTGAACTGTAACAGGATAATTAAGAAAACTGAGATGAAATATTAAATAATCTACGTATATTAATATATAATATTAAATGTATGTCTCGAATTATTATTGTGAATAATATGTTTGATAATTTGTTTGGCGATATTTTGCTAATTTCGAAAGTTTTTTTTTAAAGAAAATAAAATAAAGCTCTGCGTAGCATATAATGGGTCAACTAAGAGAAAGTTGCATTAAGCGTTTACAACTTACCGGTTACTATCGCTTGTCGAACTCACTCAGACCAAGTATTAGGTGTTAAGTGGATGTCTCTATTTTAATGACGCCCGCCCTCTAGCAGTATTTTTTAACTGTAGATCTAGTATTGTTTTAACCGCAAACTTCTTCGCAAACGTAAGCGTGTTCAAATTACGACCTTTTATATTTTGCAAGATAAAAATATGTTTTTTTTTTTAGCTCTTTATTCATTTTACCGCTGGCGACATTGTGAGGCGTACGATGCTTCAAACATTTACCTATTATGATTTGGGTGGCTTCTTGTAGAATACTGTACAATATACAAACACGACCCCGTCAAATTGGCTTTTTCTAGCGTGTTTTAGCTTCATTAAGCGTTGACTCGTATTTTCGTCTTCTATCGGCCAAGGGACTGTTGGTTATTCTTTTTTCGTTATTCTTTCGTATTTTTTTACACACAGCGAAAACGACATTATTGTCATTTGTTAATATTGATAGGCTTAGGCTAGCTTTAAACAAATACAGAATTTATTAGACTGCTATCATCCTTATGCTTATAAGAGCTAAGCGCCTTATTATGTTAACTCATCTTGGTCTCTTTTGCTTTGTGTTGTTTCTTACTTATATAGGTGGTCCACATATTACCGGCTTAGCAAAGAGTATGCACGTACGAAGCACCGCAGAAACGAGTCTGCCTTGTACGGTCTCCGGTGATGAACCGCTTTCCATCATCTGGAGTAAAGATGGCATTCTTGTTCCCCTGCACGATGAAAGGTATGTGGCAATCTCCTATACCTAAAATAATCCGAGATTTTGCATTTTCGGTTCGCCCAAAAGATCTCGTATAGGTCGTTGGTGGTTTTCGTCGTGTATCAACTAAGCACGGTTCAAGTTAAACTGATGTGTAACGGTAAATACAGATTAGAAATTAACAAAAGCAAGAACAGAAACATAAAAGCCCTATCTTCCCTAAACAGTTACAATTTTTATTATCCGTCACACGTCTGTGTAAGCGAGTTATCTGTGCCCGAAATGAGCAAATTCTCCCTCTCATCAGATACGTATATTTTGTTGGCAGGAAAGTATTGCCCGCTTTTTTTTTAGCTAACTACTTCAACTTTAAAAACATACACATGTTGAGTTCTATGATGCCTTCTATATATATAACGTTGGTGTCACCCGAAAATCGAGAACGTTTTCATTAAAAATTAAAACAAAGCACCTTCTAAGTGAATTATGTTTGTGCAAGAGTTCACTTAAGTTACAGTTCTGTTATGATAAAGGCACAGGTCTCGTGGGTTAACGATCAAAATACATTGTCGGTTCTAGAATGATTTTGTCGCTTTCGTTCCTCGATGTAAAGGATGCTTCTCGTACAAATTGGCCTGTATGAAAAAGGGGTTGATTTGCTAATTGCGAGAGTTGAATAGGACCGACCCATAACGTCGACAACGAGCTAAACATCCACTACGAAACAATTTTAAACCATTCGGAAAAAAAGGCCAGAAATTGACGAAAAATCATTTACTAGATTATAAGGCCGTTGATCGCGGCTAATGGAAGGAGACTGGAATGAAAAGGGACGGTGCGCTGTGTTTGCTGAGACTGGAAAGAAATTGTACATTATAGATTGCTGCCGCCTGGCGTAACAACTGATTTGGATTTCTACTGACAATAGCAAAAGAGATTATAACAACTTACTAAGATAATTAAACGGAACCATGACAATGCTGAACCACATAGTTCTTTACAGAGACTTAGAGAACATGGATGGCAACGCATTCGCCATATAGCCCGGATCTTCTCATCTGAACTCTTTCAATAATGTTACTTTAGTCTCAATGCAAAAGAAACTTATCCCTCTATAAATTAGGAAAAATTGATAGTAATGAAACTATGGTATTAGCGCAAAGATCGCAGAATGTCAAATAGCGTATATTTAGTTGAGTAATATTATTTGAAAAATATAAAAATGATTTATTTATATTAAAAAGGCTTAATATTTTTAAAGTTTCATCACTCTACTGTGATTATGCAAAGTATCGTTGACCCTATGCCGTTAGCAGTGTTTTTGACCCACAGAGCTCACAACGTTATGGCCGCTTTTAATTGTGTTACGTCCCCGTATATGTACGCATAAACCACAATGCAGTTGCATGCTTTGCTATGTGCTACCTGTTTGTGCTTCAATCCTGAACTTCTTCTCAAAAGTCTAAGGTCGTATTTCGAGCACGACTGACGGTGGACATAGAACATCCAAAAGATGCTACGGAACGAGAGCTTTAACTGCCCTCTCCTCGTATTTTGGCTACCTACCATTTTTAGAACAACCCCTCCGCCTAGTGACTGTGGTTGCTAACTTCCATTTGGTGCTGTCTCATGACTTTGATGACTAAAAAAAGGTTTCTGTGACGTAAAGGAGCCCTTCGCGCCTCTATCGTTCTAATCTGAGTTATCAATACAAGCAATCTACTGAGGGCTATACGCAAATCTTTCTGTTCGATTTTTGCACAATGCATCTTTTCGAATCATTGCAGGGCTCGTCATGCGTGCGACGACGCGTAAATCCTTTTCTCCTGCTCTCTAAATCGCTTTTTAATCGCAACTCTCTGACTGTTGTAATGAACAAGCTGACTAGAATGGCTAGAACGAGGGCAAAAGAGCTCCGCAACAGATGGTTATTCTATTTTACGCAGTATACATGTGCATATCGTTGGTGCACGCAAGTGGCGAAAAGCGTCCGATGTTGTCGGAGACGAACTAAAGAGGATCTGTAGCCGTGTCAGAGTCTGACAAAGTTAGCCTAATTGTTTTTCCCAACTTCGTTTAACTCTGAGATACAAGCGTATACGGGTCGCATACTGAGTAGAGTTGCTTTCAACAACGTTACGACGTCGTAGTGGAGCTATCAGTTCATTTTAGGCTATTACGATTTCTGATTTTGCTGAAATTATCTTGCTTGCCTTCTTAATAAAGACTGTTGACTTCTACAAGTAGTTTGCAGTCGTCGCATGTTTTTCTACATACAGGCGTCAATCGCTTTGAGTGTGGCTTGGGGCCCGTTGAGTTAATTTACACTTGAGCAGACACTAGTCATTAGCGAGGTTGGTTGCCGACCCATTTTACACACAAAGCACGTAGTTAATTACTGAGTTTTTGGTTTTACGGACATGTAGAGTAATTAGGCAATTGAGCTATTGAAATAATTGCATTAAGATACAATGTGTATGTAATAATCTTAGAACGAAATCCTGTCCAAACTCTTTTTCTCTAACAATAAATAACTATACGTTACAAGTTTCTTATTTTTGCCCTAATAAATTGCCTATACTCTCATTGTTTTAGCGATAATCAAATGAGTCGTCTTGGATATTTTTTTGCCAAGCTCGATTTTTAAAAGAAATAATTTTTTGCATTGCATTTACCCACACAGGTACGTCATCACCGAAGAAAAGTCGTTCTACGGGAAAAAGTCAATCCTTCGGTTACGTGCTGCGGAGCGCAGTGACACGGCGACATTTTCCTGTACTGCCACAAATCCGTACGGTAAGGCCGCTGAAGGACTTCGACTGATTGTACAGGGTGCTCCGGATCCTCCAGACGATATCGTCTTCAGTGACGTACGAAGCACGTCCGTAGTTGCCAAATGGAACATCCCTTATTCGGGCAATAGCGACATTAGCTCATACACTATCAACTATCATCCGGTCTCCGGTAAGTCCCTGTCTGTCAATATTAGAGGAGAAAAATATAGAAAGAAAAGTGCTTCTGGTGCCTCCGTATTACCTAAAAAACCTAGCTAGTTTAATTGTTTTGTTGGGAACGCAATTGCTTACCGCGTAATGTAGAGCAAACAGTTTCAATTCGCGAGTTCGACTATACGTACGCCCGTATAGGTGTCCACTGTCTTCAGTCGATAAATCGTCTGTGAGTGCTGGCGCATAAAAAAGTTCTTCACAGATATACTAGTGTATGTGCGTTAACAGGTAAACAGTAATTTTTGCTACATTCTATATACGAACAGTTTGTTATCAGTGGGAATCATTGAGATATAATGTCATTAGTACGCGTCTGCCACAATCGAAGCCCTCTGCGACTTGTTTGCTCTTTGGTCGTCCGCAGCAACTACAATCGTGCCATTGTCGAAACACAAGGAAAAAGCAGGAATTGGATAGATATCTGTTTTTAAAGGAAAAGACATAGCTTTTCTTGCTTCTCTTGATTTGCTCGGCCTAGTCCCGCTCCGCCTCGATTTGTTCATTAGGCGCATCATGTTGTAAGTATTGTAGATCTTGTGAAGCCGGGGGCAGAACTGTATTACTGGAGACGAGAGTTTTGCCGCTTGGGTCGTCAACGGCTCACCGTTAGCAGACTTGGTTGCCGTCTCGTCTCTGCAATCGTCTAGCGAGTATGGATAGAGAACCCCGGTACTGCTCATTACCACGGTGGCAAGTCCTTGGTCGTTCTTTTCTGCCCTAGTGATAATAGACCGAGCATTCGATTTTTACTTTTGTCTATATCTCTTTCGAAGCTTCACCCCTGTTCCTAATGTCCGATTAGTCAACCTCTGCCTATAAAAGTATCTGAGTAGAAGAATACGAATCCTTATTTAGAGACGGAAAACAATACTACTGCTGCTGCCTCGTATGCGTTCGCTGTGCGAAGGTTTCCGCCAATGAAAACTTTGGGAGTGTGCCTATTGAACTCCTCGCTTGTCGTACCGTCAGTACTCCTTTTTCGCGTCGAAACCGCGTTGGACCACAGTTTCATATGGAGCAGGCATTTGGTATTGAGCAGCCCGTAGAAAAGCTTATGTCCAGCATCCAGCAGGACTGGCTTATTCTCTTACTGCCAAACTTTTTTGGGTTTTAGATCTCCCGTATACTTTCCAATGTAACATCGTGACACAAGGACAGATAGAAACTCAGGCCCGTTTTAGCTTGGCCCAGCGAAAAATCAGTTGTGCCACGGACCTTGTCACTTGTCGGCCCGGATCTTCGTCTTACGATATATGCTACAGTGCAGTGCTCACATTGTACTTGCAACATGACAATGGCGAAAAATCAAGATAAATTGAGTCATCGCCCTCGTTGTTGAATCTGGTTTGGCCCGACCAGCTTGGGGGCCGATTCGGTATACGACTATTCCGTTTGAGTCCATTGTGTCTCGCTCCGTAGTAACGTGATCGGCTTCAGCTAAAGATTAAAAAAAGGCAAGAGGGACTACCACACACTGGGTTTCCAACAAGGTAACTGGCTGAAAGCGAACTATGACGCTGGTCAATTGTGCTAGACGACATTTTGTGCGTGTAGCTTGGGGATATAGAAGTAGGGGGTAAAGGCACAAACAAGTGCGAGTACGTAAAAGCGATATTAATCGACACAAGTAGTAGACGGTTCCCTATAGTAGAATCCAAGACAAAAGACATTATAATACGAACATGATAGCTGTATGCGAATTTAGATCATTTTTCAATTGAAAACCGTAATTTTATTTCTGCATATACTAGTCTCTGAAGGTGTTCGCAGAAACATTGTAAGAGATGGGTAGTCGATTTTGATTTAACCTTTTACATTGGAGTTTTTGTTCCCTAAATCAACGAAAAAGTTTTTATACCATACGCCACGGTTAATTGTTTAATGTCTGTCTGGAGTACAGATTCAGAGATCGTTCATGACAAGCTTCGACAGTCGATACGTAAAGATCTGTATTGCGCTGTGGCTATCATTGGGCGAAACACAAAAAAGCTGACTAGGGCCGTATGTCTAAAAACAAAGGCGATAAAAGAACGGCTTTATTAGAATTCACAGAAAATCGTTTATAAATAAAGTAGGAGAAGTATGACAGCCTCCTCCTTCATTTGTTTCGTATCACTCTATCTTCACCAGTTGCATACAACTACACGTTCCTCACTATGGTTACCATATCTAGCCAGAAAACATGGATAAATTCGTAAAAAGTTGCGATTGTTTCTGGATTAGTACGTAAAGGGACACTGCCTGCCGGAAATTTGATGGTCACCCTTAGCTATAATTCTGAAACCGTCAAGAGACGTGCTGTAACGCACGTACAGAACAAATACGAAAAATGTGTATGTAATTTCTCTTTACGCAAATATTACCGGTGGCTTGTCGGGAGACTTCCCTTGCTTACGTCCTCTGTCGTCCACATACATTCACAAATGTAAATGATTACAGGTTAAAAAAAAACATCAAGCTAAGCTACGGCAATAAAACTCTTGTTTCAATGCTGGCACTACCTCAAGCGACAACGAATCCCTTAGCGTCAGCTGTATACGATGTACCTGCGACTCGTTTATACGTAATTAGTACTTTAGCTACGAACAACAGTTCTGAGGTGCGATTGCATATCTCGTTTAATAACGCGCAGCGCTTCGACTATTTGAGGTAGTGCACAATAATTGTGAGCGCTTTTTGTCCATATGCGGAGGTCCACTGTTTTCATGGATGGTACTATATATTAGTTAAGCAAAGTGTTTTCTAATGGAACAGATCGTGCGAGAATGAGCGTCTGCAGCCAGCAGTAGTCTGCGTTCGCAAGTTTGCTATTTAGGAAGCTTGTATGAACGATGTGCGGCTGTTAATGGGGCTATATTGACTGTGGGGCTGACTGTGATAGTGAAAAGTCGTTCGTTGCTATTCCCCTATTTGTTCAATATCGTAGGACGCTTTTGGCAAGCATTTTGTTAACCGGTTAATTTTCGAAGTAATCAGAAGGCCGAAACGGGCTAAGATAGCGGTAAGTAAGCCGATGACACATCTGTCGAACCCCAAAATGTTATTTTCACTCTGACCTATTCGAGTTGCGTTGAACTCAATAAGAGCTAATAAAAGTTTCAAAAACAACAGCTACCTGGTTCGAAAACGCTGTATTATTTGTATAACTATTCTAACTTATCACACTGTCAGGGAGTAACCTATAGATTGACATCAATGGCCAAACAGTTAAATCAAGGCTTGTGCATTGCTATAGAAAGAAAAAATAGAATAATTCATTAATCTGATATTGACTGAAAACATAGGCAACGTAATAAATGTTTTGTTTTTTTCTGTATGTAATATTGATTTTGCGTAACGAACATTCAAGAGCCTGAAGCCACACGAGTGATTACAGTCCCGGGAACATCCGCCGACGCTACTTTGCAAGAACTCATACCGGCAACTCAATACCAATTCGTGATCAAGGCTAGCAACGCGCTGGGTGACTCTATTTTCAGTAAGCCCACCCTTGTCAAAACCAAGATGGATGGTAAGTTATAAGCCGCGAAGAAGAGCTATTGCAGGTTTATAAGAACCACTACACCATTGACATCCATGCGCGTTAAAACGTAATCTTGTAAACATTTTCTTTGCACAAAAATGTCTAATACTGATACCTATATATTATAAGTTATAATAAAGTGACTTTCAATTGTGGATTTGTTCGTGTTTGCGTTGTTACAGCGCCGAAGACGCCTCCATCTCATGTCACAGCGTCGGCTGTAGATTCTCGGACGATTCGAGTTACGTGGAGGGTAAGTAGGGCGCTATTTCGTTCACATCGTATATCTCTAAGAGACCGTGGAAGCTCTTTCTATGTGGTTCGACGTAACACTATTATATTGCGTGTGCTCCTACAGACAAGTTTCGTCTTTTATTCCCAGTAAACGATTACGAGCAAGAATAGTGCGTATATATATATGTATGTACTCAGCTATTCACCAAATAGCAGCTCCTGCCTTAAAGCATCAGCCGGCGGCCGAATAATTGTCTTCTAGAACTCAACCATTTCGTCCTTGTAGCACCTTTAGCTTGTAGAATCTCTGAGCGATCTGGGTATTTGCCGATCATCATATTCCATCATTGAATCCAATCGCTTACGAACCATCAAGGGACCATCAAGAGAAAGGCGAGCCCAACGGAGTCGACAACCGAGAACCTAACCAGCGACGAATGGGAGCAAATAGGGAAACTTGTACATCGCTTTAGTTTACATCGATGGTCAGGATAAACTGCTACAGCGTAGCCGCGCATCTCTATCTAGTTCTTTTAGCCTTCGACTAGATTCGGCTTAGGCTTCGAAAGAGTAAGTCTTCAGGCCATAGGACATATTGGCTGTTCCACATGTGTCTGCATAAGCCGGCAGCTACTGGGACGCTCCTGTAGAAGCGTCGAAGGGCCGTCTTCAATCTAAGCAGAAGTTCGACCGATTCCATCGTATCGAGCGATAGCCGTAGTAGAGTACACAAGTTCTCGTAGTGAGCTTCGAGAAAAAGAGTTTTCATTCAGCCAGCTTTCACCGGCATAATTGTCTGGGGCTAGATGATCTGCCGCTTTCTAAATGGTTGACTAATCCCCTGCTATATACATTAGTCATAGTGATTAACCAAGGTAAACAAAAATAAGTCTATATATTCACTAATGTAGCATGCTGCAGGGAACGCTCTATGTTGCGTCAGGATTACTCCAGCGCATGACTAGTGTAAACAGAAGCAGCGCATGAGAGGCATTACCACCCCTGGTAGCCTGCATCGTCAGAGGCTATCGACACAGAGAATTGAAGTCGTTACCAGCGAGTAGATAATTTCCAGAATGAAACTGGTTTACCGATCGCCTTTTTTTCCATGAGTGGCCGGAGTTCTGCACCGGATCAGTCTACGTATAGTAGCTATGTGGCCACTGTTGTCACTCCTACAACCTATCTCTAATACTATAAATTCTGTAGAAATTTCTGGCTGGACAACGACTAAATTATTTCGGCCCAAAACACATTTTAAACCAACTCCTACGCCGATCTTTTATGCACATAGATTTTACGGGCCAATGCACAACGACTTGAACATGAATCGCGTACATCGCGTTTCTTTAGCTCTCGTACAACACTGACACGTACGCCAGTGGACTAGCCAGTTCAGTAACTCTGAAGTCGAGCGTCAAGTGCTAGTCCTTTATATCGACGACGCTTGTGGATTACCTTTGGGCTGTGGAGTGAGGAGCGCTTCGATACCGGTTTCTTCGGCCGGTTTTCCTCAGCTACTGCCGTTCTTCGATTTTCTTCAATTTGCTTTTTCTTTTCGGTCGGAGTCATCTTCGTTGACATTTTTGGGCAACTCGTTGTGTTCGTTTCTCCCCCTGAAATTATATTTTGGACTTGGCTTTTTAAGAGCGATGATGGATGCGCAACAGTTCATCACTAACCATCAAAGCTGCTCGGTAAGGATGCTCGTAAGATTCAACTTCCTCGTCCCTTTACAAGCAGTAGCAGCGGTAGCCATGGCGGTCATAGCGGTTGATATTAAGATAGTTTTGCACACCGACAGAAATAGTTGAACGCTGCAGTATTACCACCGCACGAGCAGGGCGGAAGATGTCCCCCCAGTCGCTAGAGGGTGAGAGCCGCCGTTTCCGAATCGGGTCATGGACGGCCGCTGTAAAGCCGATCAGAATGGGTGATGTTGCGCGCGAGCTATTCGGGCCCTCTTCAAGATGCACTCCCGTTGCCACGAGCTTCTCCACAAAAAGCCTTTGCAAACCCCTTTACACCCGTTGTACTGTTTTCCTTCTCTACACCTATACCATGCTATTCTCCTTTAGTAAACTGGCCAGTGTTAAGTGATTGATGTGATGATTTTCGATGATCGGTTGGTTGGTCAGCAAAGTTACCGAACTGCTGAGCGCTTTCCTTATTTAACTTAAATATCCCCTGGCGGAGTCAAAGCTCCGATCTCTCTATTCGGCCTTAAACCAGCCATCGCTTAGTACTATCTCCAGTTCCCGTTGGCTGTTGGAGTTTAAAGCAACCAATGCCCGGGCAGCGGACCTTTAAGCGGCAGCCAAAGCGAGCAACGTGAAAACACAGTCATCTGCTGCAGTACGAAATCAGTATTGGTTTTCTGACGCGAACAGCTAACTTTTTGCCTTTTGGTTGGTCGTAGATTGCTCTTTGCGTATGATCCAGCTTAGATGGCCTGCTGTCAAACGCTACTAGGCAGCCCGCTTGTGTAAATACATCTCAGAGTAAGTTTGACTGAAAGTCTGTCAGAACGCGTGCTGTAAGCATTGGACAGCAATGTGCCGCCGCTGTGCCGCTGGTACTTGCAGGAAGGAGAGTGGACGAGTGGAGAAAATACGTCGGAACTTTTTCAGAGATCGTCGCTTACTCACGATCTGGATCGTTGCTGTTAAAGCGAACCCGAGGCAGTCGAATTTAAACGGCAGAATATGATTTACGTACGTCTACTTTTACTACTACTGTTAGTACTAAACATACATTTAATATTGCAGCCATGACCTAAGACTGCCGATGGACCTTCATGGCATCCTTGCTCAAGGAGAATACCCCCCGAGTGTGAAGTCTGAGCGAAGTTTTGCAGACAGATCCCTGCGTCTGCACTTGTTCATATTTTGCGCTTATCTACTCGCAGCATTACTGGTGAATTTGCTTCAGCTTTGGGCAATCGAATTGTTTGCCCGAATGTTTCGCCGTTCTGCACACACACACAATAGCAAACCCGTCGTATAATGGCAAATTTCATTAGCGCTCTTTTCAGCTCCTTTCAATGATAATGTTGTTTTGTTTGTTTGACATAGATTTCTACTTTAACTAATAGCAAATTAACTGTGAATGGTGTTTATGTCAAGAATGCGCTGAAGCTTAGATAGTTCCGATTGCTAATATCGCGCTGCTTGTATCATTCTAGTCCCCGATATCTGCTCTACATGTATCATCGTTTCGACACTTTCCATTTTCTTATATCGCTAAAGCGTTTAGCTACGAGTTAATATTCTATGGCGCAACGATCCTACATGATGTTTTCTGGCCACCTATTCACCCTTGATACCCATATGAATGATCTAGTGCTACATTCTGTCCAAAATAAGCGGTAAGGATATTGAGTAAACTGGCTGATTTGGTTCTGCAATCTACCTTTACAGCAATAGCCGCTTCATCCTTAAATTGAGTTTGGGTGAGAGGAGACCAGCTGGTGAACATTACTTGCTCTCCTTTTTCCTCCTTTCATTCTTTCCATTTTCCATCGTGAAACAGCTTCTCTTCCAGGTTTTAAGATCCCTTTTCCGATTTTTCCAGCGGTGAACTCTGTGTCATCCTCACACTAACCGTGTATATTTATCCTTTCTTTCGTTAAACGTAATTAATATCGTAGCCGATGACGACAAGGAATGCGCTGCCAGCTGCATCCCTTGCTCAGTTCCGGCGAATGGGCGACTAACGTCGCTAGCCTGGCCTGCCAACAGCGTCAACTAAAGACTCATTTCAGGAGGCCGTATTTTGCTCGGCCTGTTTACACCTGGTTATCAGATCTTAACCAATACGAGTAGGGGCGCCATCGGATATTAAAGCGCCGCTTACGAGAGTAGACGATTGGCAGAGCAAAACAGAGCTGAAAGTAACAGGGCTCTACGTTTAGTTTCGCTGGTTCTCGTTCTGCTATTTGTGCCCTCTCAATGACTTTTATCGATTAAGTTAAGTCAAATAACTAAAAGTGATTACTGTGTGCGTCTAATGAGAGGTGTGACACGATCCGGTCTAATTGTCACTTACTGCTATCGTCACTGCCTTCGACGCTGAGACAGTCACGCCGCCAGCACCACTTTGTGCAGATTACACATCCTATATAGAACTCTTTTTTTGAGGCGCATTTGAACGTCCTGCATGTCTCCTGTGAGAGTTTCTTAACACTATCGACGACCCTGGCTTTGTGTCTCCAGTGCTCCAGTTGTTTTCTCATCTAGAGCTGGTGGGGAATTACACATCGGGTCTGACGTGATGCCGTGAGCGTCAATAGAAGCAACGAATTCAAACGAGAGCATGAACTGAACCAGCAGCCAACCTGCGCCGATATTGCATCTGCCAATTGCTACCGGCGGAGCGAAGCGAGCTACGATGTCTCCATTGTACTAGCCACATGACAGCGCCATTGACAGTAAGTGATTTTTAAGGCATACCCTCCTCCATTGGAGAAACCGCTCATAAATGTCGTAGGAAGGACATATGCAAAAAACATTTCAAAATTAGTTTCTCTAGCCCAACCAAAAGCAAGGTTCGCAAAGATCAGCCGGAAATATGGAATAACACTAGTACCTGACAGCCGGTTCATTCATCACATCCATTCATTCTTGTTTTTTTCCCTTCACTGTCACTCGCTCCTACTCTCGCCTGCACGGTTCCATATTTCGTAGCATTGATTTTTCGTAAGCGAGAACCGGCACATTCATCTAAATATTCACGCCCATAAAGACGAGGGCAGGGCGAACCAGATCGAAGTAACTTTTTTGTCCATATGGTCCAACAACATGGCGTTCAGTCATTACCCTGTTTTTTTCCGTTTCCCATCGTAATTCCTTTTCGTCAATTACAGCCAGAATTACGCCCGCGTCATCTTGTTGAGAAATGCCCTCGTAGTTAAGCAGCGATTTTAAACGAAGTGAAAATGGAGAGAAGCTGTCTTCATTGAGTCAAAAGGAAGCCTCCGGGCGGTAGTATTTTTGCGTTTGCTGTTCCGTTAGCAAGGTGACGACCGCCACATGTCGGCGCGGAACACCGCAGAAATGAGAGATGATCATGCTGAGCTCACCCAAGATTTAGTATTACGTGTATCTCTTATTCGAACATCTCGCAACCCATTACAGTCAGTCGGAGATCCTACGATTACTAGCAACCAATAAATAGAACACAGGTGGCAGCCATGTAATGCACGCCTGTTTCGGCTGAGTGACATCCTTCTTCAGAGTCTGTGTTCCTTCCATCCAAGAACAAGTTTGTCCGTTCCCTTTCCTCGTGGCGCTTTCTATTGACGGCTGTGACTTGATGCTAGCAACAGGTCACAGTCGCCAATTGGCTCGATCTCCGTTGCTCTCACCGAGATAGTCTTTGTCTTCCGACGCACCAGCGAGGCCTACAGATCTGTACCCAACTAGGGTGGCAAGCTATCTTAATTGGATCCGACGGCTTTCGCTTTCAACTGGCGTCAACAAGGAACACAATAGGCGCAGGTTGTTCGTGCGTCACTTTAGTCACGCACCTTACGATCATTAAGCTAACAAAGCAACTCAGACGGCTGCTGTATTCAGCGTGCTGTCAAGCCATGTGTAGCTGGGCACTGCCCAGCTGTTTCAGTAGCTTGCCTTTCACTTTTATTATATATAGGAGTGCTTGCGCCTCTGATAGAGAATACGAAAACAAGAGGAAGACAGGGAAATACAACTAGACGAGAAGGTCCGACTAAGAATGTGCAAGCCCCGTGTTGTGCAGAAGGAACCCTTTGTACGGTTCCATCTCATCGAGACCACTGCATTGCCGGTCTGCTGCGGGCGCACTTTTCCGAGGTTATGTACTCCAGCGTTTTAGGCGGTTGTCGTCGGCATGTTGCCGTGGAAGTATTCTCGATGGCTTCAGCCATATTGCCTTATGATAGCTTGGTGGTCGCAAGTACGTACATCCTGTTTTAGACAGTCAGTTTACCCATCGATACCTATAGAAGGTCACCCTTCCTAGGTATTATCGCCAAGAAACCTAGCACAGTCTAGGCGGATGATTCTATTTTCTTTGAGGATTCGGGTTCCGTTAAATCCACGCTGACGGATGCCATCACTAGCACTGCTACAACCCCCAGTACCGTCCTCTTTGCTACCCGTTCATCTTCAGCGTTACCGACACCTTGCACGCGGCCGTCAGGCTAGCAATGTTGCGGCGGCACTTTGAGGTTGCGATCCGGTGCAATGCAAAGGCGACCTTCTCGTGTTTGCTCAATATACCATCTATCTCTTCTGGATGTTTGCCTGTGGAGAGAAAACTATGATTTGGTCCGGCGTAAGCCTGACGGGCAGGGTGAGTACCACCAAGGCCCCCTCTGTGTGTAGTGGGATGAATACAAAAACGTCCTTTTCCAGTTCTTCCTTACGCGCGTCGCCGGAAGCCTTTCTCGAATTCGGATTCCTTGCGCCAGCTAAACCACTTTTGCAGCATAGCTTTCCCTTCACTATTAGGCATTTCTTTCTGGCTCTTTTATCTCGCCTTTGCTTTTTCAGTCTTTACGTCTTGCTTCATAATCGTTATCCGTTGAGCGGGAATTTTCGTTTGGCTAAGATAGGATACCGATGCCGAACGTAAAACTCGAAATATAGAGACTAGCGTACAGTAGAAATATCTTGAGCTCTTTGAGTAGTGAAAAAAGAAAAAGAGGAGTGGGAGAACTTTTCACAGTAGCGAGTGGCTGATGTTAGGATGAGCCAGTTCTAATGGGACGATGTAAATTGAAAGTAAACCAGCGGCTTGAAGCATAAGAAATGGCCGTTTATGCACTTCGCCACGCTTAATGACAAATTGAGGGTCGGTACAAGCGGCGGCGGCGGCTAGAATAGCAACGACAGTCTGGCTATGATGACCATAATGTCAAGGAAGTCTATTTCTGAAGGGGCGTAAGTGTTGAGAACACTTTCCAGGTCTAAGAAAAAGAAGCGCGTATTTGACAGGTAACGTTGAGTGTTTGCACTATAGGAGGTCGCTTGGTTTGTTTTTTATCGTTTATACAATTCAAAATTTCTATCTATCGTTCATTACATCCGCTTGCAGAAGCCCGCGGAGCGTGCACGGAATAGTCATTTATCCGGGTACTACGTAGGCTACAAGGAAGCCGATGCAACTGAACAACTCGTATACAAGACCGTTGATATCGATCACAGCACGCAGCCGGCCAGCAGCCGAGAAGAATACACCATCACGGGTTTAAAGAAGAATACAAAATATACAGTCGTTGTTCAAGCTTTCAATCCGCAAGGTTCAGGTCCTTTGAGCAATGAGCTCATCGTGAAAACCTACGAATATGGTAAGTTATTATTAGAAAGCTTCTATTAAATTAATTCTTTCGCATATAATAATAATAATTATTATTCTCGTAAATAGACGACTTTCTTAGAAATACATAAACAGCCATGTATCAGACACAGGGAAAAATATGTGCACATATAAGCACCGAGATTCACGTCAATCCATCAGACCTAAGAACTCTGTGTTAGATATCTAATAAAATTGTTCATCTATACCAAATATGATTTTAACAGCAACAAAATTCAAGTAAATATAACCATTCTTGCAATATGTAATTTGCCCATTCCAGTGTTTCTTTATTTTAAAAAATAACCAGACAAAGATTTGTGGCTAGCAATTTTCTTCCTTCAGCACTTTTTATTCAATTACGGCATAACGTCTTTCTTCTCTTGACGAGCAGAACGCTGCTATAACCTCTTATAAAGCTCGGTCATTTGGTAGTCGCATCAATTTGGTGAGATACTGGCCTGCAAGGCGCAGCCTACGCGCAATAGCACCTCCTAGTAACTTTTCCAATATTTAAGCCGTAAGCTTTTGCTTCAAAGCGCCGCTATAGACGTGTTTGCCGCTTGGATCCCTCACGTCCCGTTCAACCCCTAGCTCTCTGAAAATGACGCACATGGCAATACGCCCTGCTGTTACAAACTGCTAGTTCATTGCGTGTGTTAGCAAGATGCCAATAGTTTTCCTTCGCCTCTTAGTTTGTACGGAATGCACAATTTGCTCTCAACAACCATGAAGGGGCATATCCTCAGGCCAAGCCTTAGCCATATGACCTAGCTGCAAGAGTATGCCTAAGACGCGTCCTATGCCTCCGTCACCGCTGTATTTCTGTAAAGCTTGGAGCAGTAGAAGTAGGAGTAGATCTTGCGTTTAACATTTACATAGGCTGCCCCAGTTTGGTTATGGGGGGTTAACTCAAAACATTCACTGTAGTATTTGCATTGGCAGAGCTCCAACACCGGCAATAGTGGTACAATTACATTATGGTTAGACAGATATACATGAAAACAGATACGTGCACACAAAGATAAAGATCTTCTACACCAGTTTATTAGAGGAGCAGCTAGCACCAGCAAACGCGGTGCCGCACCAATAAAAGTAACTAGACGGTCAATAGACCTTCTCCCTCTTGCAGTAGCTTATTTAACCTGCTTCACCTAAACTTAGTTAATTTAGTTGGCCCGGAATAGTTTTGAAAGCACAGCAACCCTTTGATGTCGTTTCTTTTTAATACTGTAGCTTATGTTACAGTAGAAGAGTTAACAGTTTCGATTATGTCCTCGCCACCCTTTCACTGTCATAATGGTACAAGCTGCACGTGCACCTATTTGCCCTTGCTATCCCCCTTTCCCTCAGAACTGACGTGTTTTAGCTGCCCCGCTGTGTCTGCACCGCGCGACACTGCTACAGTATCCGCTATCACAGACCTGCTTTGCGCGGACGAAAACGCCTACACTGTAATTGTCGAGAAAAATGCTTTGCCCTTTTGTCCCTATTGTTATCGGGAGCCACTGCTGTTGCTAGCGCTGCGTTGTTGCTGGTATTGCTTTCTGTTGAAGACAGGGTGGGAGGCATTCGCTTTATTGCCATCGGCTTAGGCCTCGACGAACTAAGGCGACAGGACAAATGAGGCCGGCCTAGGGGTTTGAGGTGCCGAGGTCTGCGGAAGAGATTCCACTGCCCGTCATGTGCAGCCGTTAATTTGCATGGCTTATTCGGTCGGCTCCTTTTTTATCGGTTAATGTGTAAAGTACATAATATACGTGTAGCAAGCGAATAATACCAACGCACACATACAGGAGGACAAGGATACTTGCATACATACCCACGACACAGTGAAGCGCCTGCATAAAGTGACAGAGAGGGGCCAAAAGGGAAGGAAATGAAACAAATACCGGCGATTCTGAACAGTCGTATAACAACAGTAGGCACAATTATGCATGCATGAATAGCGCTTCCAGCTGTGGTTCAGTGCCTAAAAAAATAGACTAAGCAACAAAAGTCTAAGTATATTAGTTTAATTTTTGCTAGTCTACAACACTATATTAGGACTTATGGAGCAAGCCGATGTTTTTGCTAGCTTTGGGCTGTTTTTCATTTTGAGATACGTACAAATACTAAAAGTCTGATAAGTAAGCTCACGAAAATAGAAGGTGCGCGTACCGTACGTGATTTCGTTATGTCTAATGACCACTCGTTTTCATAGTCTTGCCTCACATCCTTGCCCGACTAAAGCAATTATTATTAAACTAGAAGGCTGGTCTTGACCGATATACGCTGTCAGTCTGTTTGACTTTTATAGTACTTCCTAACCTTTGCCGTTCCTACATTAACATACATTTTAGATCCACCGCCCAGCCCTCCGTTGAAAATAATCGCCACGACCTCGTCATCGATTCACGTTCGCTGGGAGCAGGATTTAAACAAATACAAGGTGACGGGTTACCTTCTACATTACAAGCACTTAGGGGCCGAATGGAAAGAGATGCAGCTACACAGTTTCACGACAAACAAGATCGTCGAGGGCCTGCTCTGCGGGACCACCTATCAGATTTTTCTTACAGCGTTTAACGATATCGGACGCGGTGAGCCCTCGCCAGTTATCGAGGTGGCCACGGAGGGTAGAGGTGAGTTTGCCCTACATGTATGATCAGTAACACAACATGCTGCTGCTACTGTCGCCCCTATTATGTTCCAGAGCCCAACTGGGGGGCCTAGGTCTCCGTTTTGACCGCGGCTTGTTTCAAGCCCCTTGGCCAATAGAGCCTTCTCATTCACGTCGCCGGACTTAAGCACGCTGTGTGTTGCTTGCTGCTACGATGTTGCCACTTGTGTTTTGTCGGCGTCGTCACCACTGCCGCTTCAAATAGTTGCTGCTGCTCCTGCAGCAAAAGGAAAAGTATCTTATGATTCAGGACCAACACAAACGAGAGCGGAGACAACAGAAAGAAGACAGAGCACACGCGACGATGAAGGCAGGAGCGGCGAGGCAGTCCATACGAAAGGTCGGGTGCCAGTAGTACAACCTATGAGCCTGCAACGATGAGACATCTTGTCGGTAGCGAGTGCATACCTAAATGAGGAAGGACTGTATATCTGGGTGTCGGTATAATGGGACATGTAGGCGCAAGTCGTAGTAACAAGAGCGTCAGAATCTATAGTCACTCTGGTTGTAGGAGAGCAGTGCAAGGCATATAATACTAGTGATAGTTGTATAAGTGGTAGTACGAGTAACGTGATGACGGTAGTAGTGGTAAGGGCTATAAAAGGGATAAGCATCATCATAATCGTATAACAGCTAGACGAAGAGGGATACCACTTTGATAACGCTAGCCTCCAGCTCCATTGGGCCGAACTGAGCTCGGCCCATTGCTCTCTCCATGTTCCCCGTGCCCCTATACGGCATGAGAGCCCAGCGAAAGCGAAAGCAAACTAGCACTAAACAGGAAAACTAAGCTTGTGCTATTAGGTGACGTAAAGATGTGGGAAATTGCGGAACAAGCAACCGCCAAACGCTGGCTGTAGGTAGAGTGGTAGAGGCGGCTAAAGCACTGGGGTAACTCGAATGGGAATACGACAGTAACGGCGACGACGACGACGACGACGACGACGACGGCGATGACGACGACGACGGCGACGGCGACGACGGCGACGGCGACGACGACGACGACGACGACGACGACGTGTACAACTTAACAGGAAAAGTTTCAGCAGAAGAGGGATAAGAGCTACAAATACTAGGTGAAGAAGAGATCTCAGAATGCTGGAGGGGGGGGGGGGGGGTGTCGCTATTACGTGGTCGGAGCAGCTGAACCAGTCAAGGCGGTGTCAGTGTGAGGAACGGAGTTCTCCTATTTATGAGCAGGAAAGGAAGGCAGATGCCGAGCGACACGGAATGTCATTCAAGGGGTTCCCTGTCTGGATGGCTAAGTGCCGTGTATCTGCAGGGGGACAACGGCTGCGTGGGTGGTGTCGTGGAGACGGTGGACGGGGATGATGGAAACGACAATGCGGTGGCCGCTGCAGCAAAAGCTGTCCGTGCCAGCAGAGCAACCGAATTAGAGGCGGTTAGAGAGAGCGGGAGAACCTAGTCTTCCCGTATACTAAAGCCGCGTACAGTACAAACCCACTACGCGTTGTGGCATAGGCAGACATCTAAGATACAGCTAGCAACCGTACCTATGTTAATTTAATGCTAACCCTGAGCAAAGCTAGGAACTGCTACGGGACGGCCGTATAAGTCACATGGCATTGGCCGGTCGAAGAAGACAATGCCAACGAATGGCTGTAAAAGGCAACGTAGGATCTGGATGTTGCTTATGACGATATAAAGAAGGAAGGGCGTACGCGAGCGAAAGCCGTCTTCTGGATAGCGGACCAAGCGGAGAGAACGAAACTATAGTAGTGATGCCAATAGTGACGGTGATGGTGGCGGTTGAAACAGCCAGCGCGGTAACCGTATAAGGCAATAAAAACTATAACATCGCAGCATAATAGGCTGTTTACGAGGCTCTCTTTTCGTCGTGCACCCCTTACGGTCCCCTGATCATCGAACAACTTGGCTCTCTGCTGGTTGGAAGCAGCAGCCAGCCAGCAAAAGACGAATCTAACAGTCGACGAACGACGGAGCGTTAGTCTAACTGATTCAACTTGCAATAGTAATAGCAGACACTGTAGAAGAGTTTATTGGCGTCTTCGACAGCGCTGCCGTGTTACGCGTGCCGGCCTATCCTTCGCCTACATCTCCATTTTGCTTTCTTGTTATGCGCGCGCCTACAGTTATGGGCCTAGCTAGCTGGCTGGCTGGGTCGTCAGGCCAATGAAAGTCTATGGCACACGAGGAGAATTTACGCAGCGGGGACTAACCGTAGCTCCTTAATCATTCAGGGTGCGACGGGAGCGGCAACGGTTGTGAGGCGTTGTCCGCTGTAAGGACGACGGCAGCGGTAACCGCGATAGGGAAGAAGGAAGAGGAGCCAGAGGCAAAAACGCGAGAAAGGGCAAACGAGTAGGAATTCCCAATGTAACTGCTGCTTGCCGCTGCAGCTACTGCCGCTAACGTTTTCTCTCTTACTCACGGCGTCACCCTTGACAAGCGACGTTTGCGCTCTCTTCTGTGATTACTTGCTGTTTCTATTCCATATCTCATATGTATTTGCTGTCGCTTCCGCCATAGCTCTTCTCGAAGATGATAGCAGGCGACGGGCAACACAACGAATCAGATGAGACTGAGAAACGAGCGGTGAGCAGGCCTGGAAGTCGAGTAAGTTCAGGAACCCATGCCGGTCTTAGGGAATATCACAAGAGGTACTGAGTAGAGAGAGAAGAGGGAATCGGTTTACGCGGGAAAATGCGCTGTATGGCACTGGTTATGCAGGACTTCTTGTCTATATATGGTTTGCGTCCAACATAAAGATTCCGGGAAACAGAATTGCTGAAAACGACGAATGCTATAAATGTTCACCAATTAAGCTACAGTAATTTTGGCCTTGCTTTTTACTTTCCCGTGTGCGGCCTTACTTGTTGTAAATACAATTATATAAGACAATTTGAAGTAGAGTAGCTGAGATTGTTTTGCAAGATTCGATGTTACGACACGTGTTTATATGTATGGTGCCGGTACAACTATCGGTACATACAAATGAAACAGAGCTGAAGATATATTCGAGCGTCATTCAGTGTATTTTGGGGTTTTCAGTATGCAATGTTATTTGTCAATAGAAAATTTAACATATTTTATGACAACGTTTTACAACAATCTTTTTATATAAGCACACTAAAAGTAAATTAGACGTTTTTCCAAGGACAATTCTCTTCGACGGATTACAAATGAAATAGACGTGTCCAGGAAAATATACTTCACTATATAATTTATCTAAAATTAAACAAAGTTTTCCCTATATAGAATATATAATTGTGAAACTGGGACTTGGTTTTGAGGCGATTTAGAGATTTAGCCAAAAGGATGCAAAGCTAAGAGAACTTGGCAAATTTTTGGAAGAGGTAGACTTGCTATGTTATTGCTACACACCAAAACAAAGTAGCATTTCAACGACACATTCAATAACCAAGGAGTATATTTATGGGGAAGATATACCATTTGGTATATTTCCTAGACAAATGTACCAAAAAAATCAATGGCTTGTCTTCTCAACCCAGTAAAGGCGCAATAGTACGTGTCTCAGCCGTTTTTCGATTTGTTGAATTTTCGTTTTTAAAGAACATCAAGGCTCCGTGTCTAGGGCTTTCTAATGGAGACACACACACACAGAGTTGTGGAAACACACCCTCAGCAGTTGAAATACAGCAGTTTTCAGAAAGAAACCTGTCGACTACTATGCAGATAAAATTCACCCTGGTCTTAGTAGTGCATGGCGCAATATTTCGTTGAAAACGACGGTCCAGTACGATGCTATTATAGTTGGATAGTTGTTTGACGTCTGGCGTCTATAACTCTGCACTATTCGGAATCCCGACTATCTGCGAATAGCGTGGGGTTTATAGTTTTACACGTTTGTTACACCAGAAGAGTCGACGTACAGTATTTCTGTTGACTGAGAGTGGACTTTCGAGGCAAAGCCGCGGGGTATCTCTTAACCAATAGAGACTTGGAGAACTAATATAGAATAAAAAAACAACCATTATTCTAGTTGGGCATAAAGTCCGAGCCTTCACTAGTTAAAACAGCTACAATTTTAGCAGAAGCACAAATACATGGAGACAAACCGATAGATACCATAATTCGGCAGGCGAGAGCAGAGTCAATGGCTAGACAAGGAAGTCTAATGGGTTAGAAATCGATAATAAAGTAGAGAAAAAAAATAAACATACGACAAATATGTTCGTAGCGTTACAGACTCATATCGACTTAGCTGCGTCCACTTTCAACCCTTAGATGCATTTCTTTTGTTTCTGACTTTAAAATCGAAGACGTATTTCCGTTCTCGGAACTCGAAGGGTTCTGAAAAGTACCACTCGCTATTTGGACGAAGTTTTTGCCGTCATCGTAAACACTCATTGACTGCCTGCGTTTTGTTGCCGCTTTTTCGTTTCTTTTACCTTTGGTCGTGTTTGAAGGCAATGTCATGACTTCCCGTGTAGAGAGCAGATCAAAACAGCTGTATCGCAAAATTCGGCCTTCGACAATAGATTTACTGAAGCTCAAATCGAAAAATCTCTTCTTGAATTATTGTACCTATCTGGCGATGGACACCAGTGACTTCTATTACAATAGCTAAATAAGTGTTTCAGATTTCTACGCTTGGTACTTTTAAGAGGCATAACTTCAGACGGCTAGCCTCAAGCGCGGTTTACGCTTGATTTCGAACCACCTTACAGATCCTTATATTAAATGTGCATGATGGCAATAGTATTGCGTTTACGTGTTACTATTGCTTCTGGCTAATTAAGCATCAAGACGTTACTAATACTTTGCAGTACAAGATACGGTAATGACAGGATGCATGCACAGCGTTGCGTTTCGTTCTAAACCAGCATTTGAGAAGTAGAAAACGTACAGTGGGTGTCTTGTGCAGGAACGATCTGTGATAAAAAAAAGTCCCCCTTGTTGAGGCGATTCAGTACCTTCTTTCTGCTCGGCTACAGGGAAAGCAGATGACATCTCACTAATTCCGCTGTAAAAATATATATAACACCCTTAATGGGAACGGGGATGTCCCCGTACCTCTGGGACAGCTGAAGAGACGCCTCAACGACTGATGTAGCGCAAAAACTATTAGCACATATGCGCGTAGGTAAGCTCGATTAGTCTGACTGCACTGCTTCCTTAGGCTGATCTTTACTGACGAATCCGTGGGAGTAAGGAAGCAAGGTGGTCATTTGCATTGGACGTCGAAATGGACTGAGACCCCTTCCTCACATACGTGGCTCGTGTCTAGATGTTCTTACGTGTGCTTAGCTTTACAGCTAATGTAGTTTGAACACCGTGCGATAATGTGTTGCTAGTTAGACGAATGATTTCGTAAAGAGAATATCGAGTGAGATCAAAACAAACGCGAAACATGAAACAGTTCAAGAGAACGCAGACCTGATTTCCGTCAAAAGCTCTGTTTTGAACATGTACACATGGTACGCGAGTGCTTTATTTTTGTTAGAGGCTTGTGTGTTTGCACAACTGTCTTCGTATCGGTTTAAATGCTATCACTAAAAAGCGAACAGATTTTATGTCTGTTTGAAATATAAGGTTCTTCAAAAAACGCAACATGCGCATCCATATTTTAGAAGCTTTCCTCCACAAGAAAACATTTTGATAAGCTTAAAGAAACTTGATTTATTCCTACTTTCGACAAGTCAATCCTATACTAAATTATAAATATTTACATGAAAACGATGATAATAGCCGTTTTCTTCCTTTATGTCTTTTGCCATTGCTGTACATATGCGCGTGTCTGTCAAAGAACTTGTTTGCCACTTTACGCTAAGCTTACCATCGACTACTGTTCTGAGAAATAGACTTATGTGCACATGATTGTAGCCAATCGGTCCAGTTTGCTGGATCCACATTTCCCCTCATTGTAACTTCCGGCTCGACGCGCAGGCGTCTGATTGCACAGAAGGCGTTGCCGGCCAATAGGCTCACGGTGGCCCTCGAGCGGGCTGTCACTGTTGTCGCTCCAATCGCAAGGCAAGCGCGGACCGGGTGAAACTAGATGGCTACCGTCTTAATGTCTCTCGCATCCCATGCGCTTCAAGGGTCTGGTATGGCTAGTGGTACTGGTGTTGCTACTTGTGTTATTTCCGCCGGCGCTGCCTTGCCTAACTTCTCCTGAAAGATCGTCATGAAGAGTAAGCGGAAGGGGTGATTCGAGCCACGCTGCTCAAACTGTCTGTTAATAATATCTGTCTTTCAGACCGGTCCTGTATATGCTTCATATATGTATATATTAGTATCTCTATATATGCTTCATCCCAACAGTCTAAATCGTTGGGCGTTACAGATGTTTGTATTGGAGCCTAAAGACCCATTCGGGCCCACTCTTACGTCGGTCCGAGAGACAAAAAATGCTATTTCTGTACAGTAGACAATACGGGTAAACAAACGGGTGAACTTCTTCGACCCTATTGGAATGGCCTATAGTCCCTAAAGTTACGACTCGTTTTGCAAGCATTGTCGCACGTTTTACAAAGCGCTGTGGGGTTTATAAAGACTGCTATTTCCTCCGACAACGCCGGAGGTAGTGGGAATATTTTCGTAGTATAGGAGAAAGCGAGCCATCTTCTACCCCACATTTCCCTTCCCGTACATGGAGTCTAGTCTTCAAGCATCATTCAGTCCCAAATTGAAGGGAGCGTTCGGAGTTTTTAAAGGTGTCTTCATTGTTGAAAAATCAACCAAAATATGAATAACAAATCGAGGAGAGGCTCGCCCATGATCGACCTCCGTGACATGAACAGATCTGCTTGCTTTTTCTCAAACGAGCGGTAGCTTTTAAACCCTTATAGACCTCTTCGAAGGCCGTACCTCCTGCCGTACTCTCGGGAGGTTTAAACCGCATTTTAGGCTTTGACACGACGATATCGAATAGAAACGGCTGCACATATCGTGTCCTACATTTTCAGCTCAGCACGTTGAGTCACAGGATATGATAATAAGCCAAGCTTTCACCCAGTTTTTTCTTGTTGCGACTAGCATGGTACAAGAAGTGTATAGAGCACTCACTCTTTGCAACGCACAGCAGTTCATAGCTTTTCATTGATTCTCCTCCATACAGTCGCTACTTCACACGTCTGTCAGTTACAATGGCACTTTCTACATATAGTCAAGCCACTAACTTTTCCCCATAACAGAGTTCGATCATGGTGGATATCTATCTTTCTGTCTAACCAGAAATTTTTCTCGAGGATGCGTCTTCGTTGTTTCCACATTGCCAACGTCATGACATCCGCCATTTCTTGTCGTATAGCCTTTAGCTGCTCAATCCTTCTTTGCCGCTTTTTCGCCCTTGCACCTTCTTTTGCATTGAAAGAGAAGGAAGAATGCCGTTTTTGATACTGGAAATAGACCTTACATACAGGGGACGGACTGGTAGCATGGGTGAATCTATTTAATCCCTTTGTTGGCGGGAGCACCGGTGTGCTCACGGAATATTTTAGGAGGTGGCGACGTATTAGAAACAGCAATTCAGTGCTGATTCTCTGGAAAACACTAATTCCTTTAGGCGTTATGGAAGAACAGCGTAGACAACAGATAGCAGATTGGGGGAAACACAAAAACGCAGCTTCTGAATATTCGGCCTAAAGGAAGAGAATGCTCAGAAATGGGTAGCTATGAGGAGGCCTACCCTAAGAGCAAAACGAGGACAACCTAGAGTGGGAGAAAAGGATGGTGAAGCCAGGAGGCGTTGTGAGGTTTTTGTTATCGTTGTTCTAAGTGTTATTGTTGTAGGCGTTTCTGCATGCGTTGCGGCAAAGTTGTTCGAAAGTCCTTCTGCCCGTTGGTGGCAAAAATGGGTATAGCAACAGGAGGAGCAAGACAGAAAGGCAGAAGATGTAACTAATAGTGGTAATAGTACTCGTAGTAAAAGTACAACTAGCATAGAACAAAAGAAGAGGATGGTAAACGATGGAGGTGCGGGGAAGGAGCCACGGTAAGGGTGGTACGGCGGAACCAGAAAAAATGACAGATGGATAAAAGTAGAGCGATTTGCGATGTCAACTTTTTCATCAAGGCTCTAGTACTGCTATTGCTGGCGAATAGTGGGCCTGATTGGTGCTTGTCAACGGTGCCCATGTGCGTCTTTTGGTCCCATTATAGTTGGCCGAAGTTGTTCTTTTATCTTCCTTCATTTAACGAGCGGAAAAGTAACAACGACTTAAAGGCGGTTTGAAGGTTTCGTGGCGAAGTGTATGTAGAGATCACACGAAAGGAAATGGTGAAGATGGATGTAGTACGAAGATGTACTGTAGAAGGCTGCATGTGTGCGCGGCGTTCAGTTCTTCAATTGTCTAAATTTTTTACTTTTAAGACATGTAGAGATTTCAAGACACTGCTCACATAGTAGCCAGCAGATCGCTTTATGTGTTCGTTATTAATTTAAATAATGACCACTATTTAACTGTAATAAGCCAGAGCTCCATCGACGATAGCTTGCATTCATAATACGTACATATATAAGAGCTGTATAATAAATAATATTACTCGCAGTAAAATGGTTTCTTCTAAATTACTTTGTATTGTCCTTGCTTTCAGCTCCTATTGCGCCGCTCAGCGACGCATTCATCTCGAGCAACCAGACGACGGCCACGTTGAACATAGCGACGTGGGGTGATGGGGGCTGTCCGATCCGCCACTTTGTCGTTCAATACAAACTCGCCCAGCATCGAGACTGGCTTTTGTTGTCGAGCGATCTTCTCAAGGAAAAACAGGTTTGTTTACGAATTCGTTGGTTAAATATGATATTCTTGTTCGTTTCCATCAGATCAATAGACTCAATCGGAGACTCACGCTCCGCTCGACGTTCACACACACATAGACTTTTACATGAAACGGTGATTACATTTGCTCCTTCGTTAGATGCTGCTCTGTGACGTTCGTTACAGTTCTGAGAGGACGTAACCCCCTGAATTTCGTAAAATCTAATCTCGTACAGGGTGAGATTTTCTTGTTACGTAAGTTTGTTCGTAATGCGTAATTTAGAATTTTGATCCTGCCTAAAACAAGCACATAAAGGTACTTCTCTCGCACAAACATAACAACGTTAGATTTTTGCGAAGCAAAAGACTAACTAACTGAACCTCTTCATTGTTGGCACATACCTAGTTCATTGACGCGTTGCTGTTAAGGGTGTTTGTCTATTAAGAGTAACTGCCTTGAGCGGAACAATTGCAGATTTAAGATTAATCCAACAGTTTTAGTTGCAAAACACATTGATCTGGCCAATAGAATGAATTTGGCCGGGAACAGTCTGCATAGCCGTATTTCAATTTAATTAGCGTCGAATATATTACTGTTTTAACCGGAACATTTACATTCATATTGGTGCGTTCATTAGCGGTTTTTCTTTTTGACACCATGAGCAATTCACGCTATACTTCGAGAACGGGAGCGCTGTTCTGGTGAGCTACAAATTCAAGCTAGTATAAGAACTAACGAAAAAAGACGACTGCCGATTGTGATAATTAATACGCCGGTTAAGTTCCTATTTTCTAAAGCGACTATCTTTTAATTGATTGTTGACTGATATGACTGTTAGAAAAGACTTTTCTTTTTATGTATGAAAACAGCTGCTAATGTTAACTATTGTGACAATTTTAAAAATATAGTTAGAGACGTATGTATGGTAGACTATTTCCAGTAGCCTACAGCCGATCGAAGTCACAACGCTGTAGTATCGTGACGACAAACACAATTTCTATTTTCCAGCTAGCGATCAGCAGGAGTCTGGGATGCTCCCTCTATTCCCGAATCCCAACCCTCCACACCTTTACCCAGAACGATAAAGGAATCAATGGCAAAGCTGGAGGAAACGGGGATAAGGATTATCAGTCTAGGAAAGCTTTGCCGCAGCTGACTTCGGGAGTTATCGGCTCATTGGGGATCTAACTGCACGGCGCTGAAGCAGATGGGGACGAGGGGCCGGTGAAAAACAGCCGTTTTTCTGCTATAACCGCGGCGGCCTTGTGACGAAAAGGTCGCTTTGGGAAGTGGCTGCCTCTCTGCTGCTGACTCTCAATCGGCACTCTAATTAAGTGATGGCCTCACCGGGACCTCTTCTAAAGGCTACATTCTATTACGACACCCCGGAGCGTCCGTCTACCGCGTCACCGTGCTCCAAGCGCTCGTTTTTCAGGGGACCTCTCTTCCCTTTGTCGTTGCCGTTCTAAAAGCAGACACACAAAGTAAAGCTTACCCCCTCATATTCTAGAAAAACCCAGTCCTTTGCTCGGGACAAAAACGAGAGAAGTGACACTGGAGACTGCCGGCTCTTTAGTGAAAGGAACAAAGGATGATCGCCAGCAGCATGGCCTGTGACACGTTACTTTTACCGTCCAGTCGGACGAAGCCTAAGAGTTGCTGTCACATACTATCCGCACAGTCACCGGAGGCCACATGCGCCGGACACTTCAGTGACACGGGTCGCCTCGGTTTCCTTCAGACAGAGATACACACTCAGGTTAGAATACGACATTGGACACTGGCCGTATCGCCATTCCAATATTAAAATGGTGGTTGTTTTAGACCTGCTACAAGAGCTAAAAAGGATCTGGACGGCTCGTTTCGTAATATCGCGGCTTTTTAATTATCTCGAAGGAGATTTATTGGGGGATGCGAAAACGTTCAGTATATAGAACTTGCGCAATCAGAGCCAATGCGGATAGAGAGACAGTAACGTTAAGATGAGAAATAGCAGGCGGGGATCCTACTCGAACAGGCAAACAGTGTCTAAACTGAGTGTCGTTTGCGAACGAAGTGTCAACCAAAAAGTTACTAAGGGCACAAAATATGGCAACATATGGAATTGCCATTAACCCATCCATTGACAGCAGTGACGAGTCCTCCTTTCATATGGGCGAATGTTATTCGCGATGGCATACTTGGGTGTCTTACCGGCTGGCTGGTCCCAATAGTGCCTCGGTCGCTTGCCGTTCTTTTGCGTTTGACCGGTCTTTCTCCTCTCTCTGTTTCCTGTTTCTTCTTTTAGAGTTGGGGATTGCCAGCGGTTGCCGACGTCGTTTACCCTATCCTTTTGCCGATGTCGCCAGAAGAGTGGACGCAGATAAATGTCTCGTCATAAAAAATACTTTTCGCCTACTCGCTTCGTCTCCTGCGCTACTACTTGTTATGACCATCCTGGCCAGCAGGCAGGCCCTCTTAGGCTAAGTAAAGGCAGAAACAGACTTGAAAGGGGGCGCAAAACGAGAGTAGCGAAGGATCTGCTGGCAGCGATGGCGTCATTGACCATAAGCGAGGGTTCTGGTGCTGCCGCCATCCGCCTCCACGGCAGCGTAATACTGTGTAGGAGTAACGGATACCAGCAATAGCAGCAGCTACCAGAGTGCTGTGGGGTTTTGCTGGCGTTGCTTCTGCTACAGAGGCTAAAGGCGGCTATCGCTACAAATATATGTGGCACTTTCTCGTCTTATCGTGTCGCTCGGGGCGTAGATGGCGTGGTTTTCGGGGCCCAACAGGCAAGCAAGGCCCAAGGCGAGACAGATCTACGCAGGGCAAGACCGGAGCAAGCCACACAAACAATGTTCGTCGTTTTGCCCTTGCTCTTTGTGCTTTGAGCTTAGCCGCGCTTGTGGACCCACTACCATTCGACCTATAGCAGATCTGCATGACGGCCTTACGGCCCAGCAGCTCGACAGCCTATCATTGCCGACTACACATGCCGCAACTGCCCTCAGCAGCACCGTTCTAACGGCCGTCGCAAGGCTCGTCTCGTTCAGCCTGCGAAGATTCAAATACCCTCAGCTTTCAGTTGCCCAATGGCTTGTCAACAAGGTCAACTAGAAGAAGCAGTAGCAGCACTTCACCACAGTGTGTCACCACTCGTTGTATACAGTATGTGGTATGACGTGATGTGATGTCACGTTTTGATGGTTATAACCTCTACTATTCAGTAACAGTAGTAGTAGTAGCTTATCTCAAAGATTTGTCCTAATGCCTAGGATAGGGCATACCCATGGTGGACAAATATTGAGATTACTTGCTTGCTTGTAATACATGGTACCCCATTAAGCAATGTGTACGAGTATGTTTTGTGGTGTGCCAAAACTAGGAATATTAAAATGCACAGTACCGAACATACTAATCAGAGTTCTCTGCACAGCTATGCACAAACAAATGTCAATGTACACTGCAGACTATGCTTAGACATTTTTGAGACGTTCAGGCTACCCACTATCTGATATGAGTAGTGTGCAATTTTCTGTTAATATTATGGAGTGAATTCTGTAAATTCGAAATAGTATATTATTTGCTTAATATTTTTTTCTCTTTCTCGTTGACATAAGCATGGTTCGGAGGAGTAAATATGTATCAAAATAGAGCTAAACAAGCTGGTAGTATAATGACACTGCCAACAGATGCATATCATTTATCTAATGTAATGTCTATGATCAGAACTTTGTACACTGCATCACGGTGCTTTCTTGAACAAATAATGTGTAACAATTTCGGTCGTAGCTGAAGACTAACATTCGTTATACTGGTGCTAATTGAGCATAAAGCCCTTCGTGTATCTCTGAAAAGACAAAGCGTTTTAAATAAAAAGCAATGTCTGATCTGCAAGTATCTGTCACCATACACCTCTAATATTAGAATCGGCTTCTACAGGTACTATTGTAGTTTTTCAAAGGGAATGAAAATTAGATTTTATCATAATTTTTTTTATAATAATTTGCTAACAGGTTTTGAATCTTCACTGAATCTGATGTCTGTAGCGATATACCCTCAGCGTAAACTTTCTTCCCACTCATAGCCTTTGTCACAGCGTCCCCTCAACATATACCTCGTAAAATTGTGAAATTGCGCGTCGTTGAGTATGGAGCTTGCTTGAAACGCTTATATGACGATCAAAAATGGTTTGGTTTCCAGGTGATCCATTATGGATCACATCCCCGTCAACCACGACGCGATACACTACATTGGTTGTGGGCTTGCAGTATGCTCGTTCAGAGTTTCTTACACGTGGCTAACGGCCCAGTAAGCGTATTTTTGGGGGGACTTCCTTCCGAGCAGCTAGTCTAACCTGCTGCCTACCTAACTAGCTGTTGTTAAACTTCAGGCGCTTTTGAACATATGCTCCTTCTTTTGAATTTTCGTCAAGTATCCCCCGTACCATCCCCCTTCACCTGCTGCTTTGTGCGTATTCCTGCCCCGGACAATCTCGTCTCGCCAGTGTCATACAGCCGCCAACCACTTCTATAACACTTTTCGGTACCGGCATCCTCGGCAAGTAGGCCGCAAAGATTCTACTGTGAAAACCCAAGTTACATGACTGGCTGGAACGCCATTCACCGCGAAAGGGTCTCGTCCTGCTGGAGCTTCCAGCTAACCAGGCGATCATCAGTGTCGCATTAAGAAGATCAGAGAAGATAGCTCTTTTTCTTCTGTTTCTCTATTGCCGCACTTTGTTGTAAACGCTGCCGTCGGAACAGCGCGACGCGACGAGAAGTTGTGGTTGGCGCACCACTTTCCTGCTAAGTTCTAAAAGTAATTTTAAACAGAAGTAGACCATGTCAGCCTGACTTATATACCCAGATGCACACATGTCGTAGAATTGCTACGACGGCAAATTCGTTTCAGGCAAGAACTAATACTGAAACCAGGACCTCCTGCGCGTTCTTAGCCACTGCAGGAACCGCACAACCGATGTCCGTTCTCGCAACGGTAGTGGCAGTAACAACGACGGCAGCGGCCTGTTCAACGGCGAGTGTAAACTTCCCTAGTGGCATGCTACGACCTTTCAGTTCCACCGACGTTGATCTATTTATGGTATCGGATAAGCCTCCAGGGGCGTATGTCCCTGGCAGGACTAGGCCAGCCTCTATCAGGCGGCTGCCGTTGATGCAACTGCTATTGTTGGTGTCGACGTTCAGGAAATGGCTGTAGAGTCGCTGCTTTTGCCATTGTAACGCAAGCATTTAAGGAAAATCAGTGCGTGTTTTGTGCGCGGCCTTGTCTAGGCGGCAGCGTTATGCTCTGGCGGACAGGAACCCGCGAATAAAGAAGAATAGTGTCGTTGAACATTGGCAGCAGAAAATTTCAATTATGCTGGCTGCTCCTGGCTGGCAGATTCTCCTCCTCCCAACTGTTCGATCTCGACGGATCGGGTCGGCTGGCGTGGAAACTGAAACAACCCAAGGAAAGAACCTAACTTCTTTCGTAGGCCGATCCATCGTTTATCCTGTCGATCCCGCCAACATAACTCTGCGTTGCCATCCTGAAACTATTAGATTACATTAGTACAGCGGCATAGAATTACAATCTTCGGTATACTGCATTGAGCCTGTACAAGCGTGCATATTTGATGGTGTCTTGGTGGTCTATGGTGCGACGGAATTTGCGGGGAGCGGGGGGGATTCGTGTCTGTGTGGGAGCCCAGGCTAAGTTTGTTCCTATGTCTAGTAGGTTTACAGAACCTGGAATTTTGGAAGGCTTAAGGCTTGTGGAATAGAATAGGCTGATCAAGGATATGTTTGTAAGTGACAGACATACCAAAGCCATTTCATAACTTTAAACCATTTTAAAGATGCGAATGCGTCGTCCTCTGCTATCGTTAGCAGAGGGTCATGCATCTACGTACAACTAACTGGAAATGACAGGAAATAGTTTATAATATATAGATGCGCAAGACGAAAGGTTGTACAAGTTCGCTTAACAACTTACATGTATGCATGAGAAAAATAAATTAATTTAAATAACAGCAGCTGTTTCGTACAATGAATATTTAAATCCTGCTAATAACTGAAATAGTTACTAGCAGGATTACCTTATTATCTGTTATTAACAGGAGCAACTTCTCATTTTAGAAGATAATTCTCATTGATCAACAACTATGTATATGCCCTGTTAGCAGTATTTGATTTGTATATTGACATTTGTAAAATATACACGCGTGATAGTGCGTATCAGCTAAGGTTGGTTTCGGCCAGTACGTTCCAACCATACTGGCTGTGCTCAGACAGCAAGGTCGTTTCCGCTTATCTCGAAATACGCATCCTTGAGGGTCCGTCCTAAGAAATAACATGGTGAAAAATCTACAACTCGTTATAATCATCAATGTTGATTCAGTAATGAAAAATATATATTATTACCTATTTCGTTTAAGGAATACTAGAGGCGTTTGGATAAAGTTTGGAGGATCACGTATTCTACAACGCTGAATGCTATTTTGACCGAGTGAATTTCGGCACTCCAAGCAAGAATCAACAATCGTGACCAATAATTGATGACTTGAACCATATGTCAAAGTAATAGACTGAATACTGAACGTGTGACGGAGGCGCACGTTTCATATGATACTGAAAGACTTATCAAGTGGAGACATACGGAGCTTGCGGAATCGTTGCGGGCCGTATGCATGAAAAGAAACACTTCCATCCGATACCCATCAATATCGTTACTAGCTTCCTCGATTTTTGTTCAGAAGACAGTGCACTTACACCAACTGACTGCAGTTTCACGCGACAATATTGCGTTCAAAGATCAACGTTTCTCTGCTACGAAACATAATCAATAAAACTTAAGAAGTTGACCCGTTCGGTGACTAAATACATCTTGTTTGTTTGCCCATTGTCCTTGTCATGGAAAATTGCGTACCTCTAATATCCTTGTTGGGTATATTACAGTTCGGGAATAGTTACCTTTTACCACTAGAAGACTTCAAAGCTGTGCTAAAGTTAGTCAAAACAAAAAGCAGGGTATTCAAACGCGTTCTTAGGTTTTTCTAGTCAGTGACTGAAAATGGGACAGCGCCACTCTAGAGAAAAAAAAAATGGGTAGTCGTGCCTCCGTTGCAGCTCACATGCGGAAGGAGACATTAAGAACCGTAAAGAATTCAAGATATCCAGAGTTTTTTTTGCCTGCTCCAAATTCAAGAAGCTTGTCCAAGTTGCTATTTGTTTTCCAGTGAAACAAAGCAGGAGGCAAGTGAATGCTTAGTTCGCTCAGAAAAAAAGGGAAGAAAATGAACGGAAAAAATGCGCGTACAGAAGGAAACAGCCATAGCCGATAGTCAGCCTTGAGAGCCCTGCGCTCTGAAGTCGTTTCAATTTGTGGCTTGTAGTGGAAAGAAGGGGCCAGAGAAAAAAATGTTGTCTTTATAGGAATTTTTCCGTTCCTTATTGGATTTTCGCGCTCATATTATGATCTTGTCCGATTCGCTTCCATAATGAATGATGGCGGAACGGTCTACGCTGTTACAGGCGCAACGTTATGCTTCATACACGAATTTCTTTTCCAACCGTACCCAGGTCAAAACACACGTACACTGTGACTGGTATGAGTTTTTCGAGACTAGCAGATCTTTAACAAGAGATCTAGGCTAAATCCATCGGAATAGTTTAATTCATGTTTTTGCAAAACACGAAAATACGCTATTCTTCGCGCTGTTTTGATAAGCCATTTTGGGCTTATTGAGCATAGCTTCGTTTAACGCTTTCTAAATAGATAAAGCTTTTTTTCTTATAAAGATACTGAGCTGAAGAAGCATTTTACCAAGTTATTAGGAGGGCATAAAACGAATAATAAAGAGTTACGATTGATTCACGCACTGGGTCACGGAAGTTCGAAAGGGCGCGCAGCGTTTATTAGGGCCGAATTTAGAGAGTATATTCAAAATAAACGTGAAAATTTATTCAATGTTAGCTCAACGAACTAATCACAACTCATTCAGAAAGTCGCCGCTGCTGTTTCTATTGATTTCCTAGTCGCCATCAGCCAGTCCTTTCTGTCACTGTTATGATGGCTCTCAAGGTATTGCCGTAGCATCTGGCAGGTTTCAGCGGCAGTCTGACAATTCAGGAAGAGACCCATAGAATGGTTTGGAAAAGTAGCCTCAAAAATCCTATTGACTTCAGCTTCGTCAGGTTCAGCGTTAATGCGTTACTCGATGTGGTCTGCCTAGAATGTAGCTTCTCTCTGCAAAATATAGCTTCTCAGGGGAAGAAGAAGAGAAGGAAGAAGTTGGTTCCTTTCTAGCACGTATAGCTTGGAAGTCTGTAACGTCACTGCCCTATCGAGTCGGCAGTTGACCTAGTGAGGCTGGCGATTTCACAGCACCGTTAGGGTTTTCCGCTTGAGCGAGTAAATGACTACGACTAGAGCTGCCAGTCGGGCCGTTACGATGACGGTTCAGGCGCAAGCGTTAGCGTAGGGTCTACTATACACAGCGTTGATGGTCACGACATACGGCCGCAAGACGCAAAAGCTTGCAGGACCCGTCAGTAAACCGGTATGCTTAATAATACTATAAAACCGTGCCCTTTGCTGCTGCTTCTACTGTTCTTGCAGCAGCAGCGGCGACCTTAGCTATTTCGTGCAAGCATTGCCACCTTCCATGCGACGCGAACCCGTCGTAGTAAAGCCGAGCAGTAGGCAAGCTTGCAAAGAGCAAGGCATACGTAGCCAGTATCGCCTGAGCTACGTGTTTATATGCGCGTATTTGTCGGGCTGAGGCGAAATCCGTAGGGCGGACGCAACAAATGAAAGGCCTTTAATTTTCTCAGGACATCATACGACCTTAGTTTTTTGGTTTCAGGGGCTCACGCAGCTGAAGGGGAAAAACCTCTACCAATATTATCTGAGGACAAAGCAAATGCTGCATTAGACGGCTAAGGGAAAGGGACGCTGACTTTTCGTTGAAGGGGCATCATCTTGGGACATTTCTGTAAAAAAAGCTCAACCTAACTAGGTTCATATGTAAGTCGTTCCGTTATTTTTGTATCGCCTGCGCTATAGCTACAGAAAAACCAAAGAGAGTCAGAGGCCTGGAGTCACCGTAAGCCCTTCAGAATAAATTGCTGAACAGAGTTACTGTTGGCCAAGGTAGTTATCAATGCCACAATCTCAATGTCTCATTATGATTATTCCATTTTTATCGGCAGGTTGGTCCTTACCTTATTATTGTTAGTAGTTTTTCATTATTTCGTCTTTATTATCATATTTTTTGATAATTGGTCATTTGACGTTATCGTAATCAGATGAAATTACAAACGTTAAAATATTGTGTCATTTTAAATCATGTCGGTTATATTTGGTACGTATAGGTAAAAGAATTTCGCATGACTACCATAATGACCCTGTTTTCCCTGTTATTTGCCCTTTAACTGGTCTTGGTTCTACCATAGCAGGTGCTAGTCGTTGGGGAACTGCAGCCATCGTCGTGGTACGAGCTGTTAGTGACTGCGCACAACGAAGCAGGCTTCACTGAAGAGGATTATCAGTTTGCCACGTTAACACCAAGCGGTGGCACTATACCACCTCCGCTTGCTGGTACCCGACAGGTAAATAAATACTGCATGGATATGCACAATAATAATAATATTGTTTACATACATCTATTATATATTATATATCATGGCGTTAGTTGAGCTAGAGCTATTTTTGATAAAACAGGTGAATATAACTAGGTAAACAGGTAGCGAGACACGACCTCTTGTACTTTCAGCGCTAAACAACGAATAAGTGCCATAATACTGTAATAGACGGATGATATGAAGCGGAACGCTCAGCCATGGTCTCGTCAAAATTTGAGAAATAACGACACTTCCTGCAATAGACGCTCTAGCAGAAAGTAATGATAACAGTCGGCGACCTATTATCGAGTTATAGTCGGGCGCGTGTCAAATTTGAGTCTCCCGAGGGGTTTGCTCCATAACCGGCACCAACTTTGAGATAGTCTGCTATAAGTATGAAATGTGGAAACTAGTAGGAAACCTGCCTCCACTACACGCACGTTTCCACTAATTGACAACGATTGCCCTTGCTAAATTTATTGATTCTTTGTACATTTCAAACCATTAATCATTTGTCTTCGATCCGTTTCATTGCTTTTCCTATACTAAGTGCTTTTTTCTAAAACCTATTGTAGCGTCATGAGCATGTTATTAACCTGTATCGGCTTTTTTCTGGTCTCATTTAAGGGACGAATCTCCCGATATTTTCCTTTGTCGTTCCATTCTCGACTAGGTATACATAAAAGTTGAATTTGCACAATCGTGTGCATCTATTTGCACTAAGCAGCTGGTACGACTAGGTGACAGCGTCAGTATGTTACTTTCCATATAAGATACAACACAAGTCGGAGGTCCTGCCGAATTTGAAGTGAGGCCCCTTGTCGCGTGCCGTCGCCCTGAGAAGGTACATATATCACCTTAAAAATTACTTTGGTGTCGTCATTGACCTTTCTCTTCACCAGCGAAGAGGACCGTAAAAGCACCGCCGCCATTGTGCCTTCGTAGTCGGTTTTGAAGCGTAGAGCCATAACGCGTAGACTCGAGCTGGCGTGTGTCCTTAGAAAAACCAACGAGTGCTTTTCTATTTGCTTGTCTTCACTCTCAGAAAACAGCGGCAGTTTCCATGCTTCTAGAGCTTCTGCCTGAATAAAAAGCCCGCACACAATGGAGTTAGACCTTAAGGTTGTTCGATGGAAGCTACCTACCTCTTGCGTTTGCTACTCCTTCTATCAATATCTTGCCTGCGCTACAAGGTGACATAGATTGCTGTTTGCTCTTCTGTGCTGCACCAAGTACAATGTTTTTCAACCGTTAGAAAACTTGTAAAATATAGCAACCCAGATAGTCTTCTCCGACGTCATGTTGCATCGAAATTAGAAGGTAACAAAAAGTTGCAAACAACTTCACCTTAATAGAATATTAAGGAATCTTATCTCGCTTCCATGAAGTCTGAGTAAAGGATTTAGGTGAATACTTAAAACAATTTACTTCTAAGAAGCTGCCCATCGTTGCATATGTTCCCATCTTAACACCTTAATAGAACCTTCTTTTGTATCACGATAAAGTTTTAACTAATAGCAATGGTCTCCTAGATTATTCCTGGGGCTTTAATAAATTAGCTTTATAACAACAGGTAACATACCATAATTGAACGTAGTATGTCTACAGAATCGACTTATGGGAAATTAATATGCTATGAGTATATAATATGAGTATACATATACACGCAAGACTGTGCTGTCTACAGTTGGCCATAGCTATTTATGCGTGTTATGATTTCTCTAACCTATTTTCCTGCAATTTTTTTTTATTACCATCGCCACTGCAGGTATCAATGCTTCGCGATCCAGCCGTTCTAGTTCCTGTATTGTGCGCCGCGACCGTCGTCATACTGCTCATCTCAGCCGTTTCCCTTCTCTTCATGCGGAATCGACGCGGTCATCCGCATGGCCATAGTAACGACATTTGTAAGTGTTCATATTCTTCATCCATCTTTTTGCTGACAGAAAAATACGATGTCCGTTAACGTCGATTTAACGTGGCTCCCAACACGTTCTATCTTGCGAGACAGAGCACGTTCCACTGAAATGCTGTGTGTAAAAAGTTATATGAGTAAATTGTGAACAGAATGCATTCTAAGTAGTTGTTGAATAGGGGGGCTCAGCTATGGAGAGTGAAGATCTAGTGTGGTTTTCGCTTAGAAAAACATTCAAGATAGCTGTGTGTATCGAACCTCCGGCGGTGGTGTCAGGATGATGTCACGGCGATTTTAATAGAAATAATGCTTCGTACATTAGAAGGCGTTTGCCTTGGTGTCCTTTTGAATATTTCGCATTTGTTGTCATAGTAAATATATCAACGGATAGCCTGTGGTTACAACAGTGGATAGAAGCGGTGAGTTCATGAGACGCAATAAGTGCCACTACAGTATAAATATATGTTTCGGAGAACACGAACTCGAAGCGATCCTCTGCAGAGTCGTGTAGAGAAAGACGTCAAAGAAAAGACCTATTGGAAAGCTAAAAAGCACTGGGTAAGACGATGCCGAGGAAAAAGGTTTGTTAACGACAGTGAGCCTCGCGAACCAGGCGTTCACTGTCAGATTCAAAGGACTGCTCCGATTCGCAAGTAACCCAGCTCCAAACTCTTTTTAAACAACCGGCGTCAGCAGAGCTTTGCCAGTTAGGCCGCGGCCTCATAGGACCATGGACCTCAGGGGCTCGGCCCCGCGCACTTACGGTGCTCGAACGGCAACAGTAGCGGCGGCTCTGGCGATGCACACGATTTCCATGTGAAAAGCGTTACCTTGAATGCTCTCATCAAGCAAACAGCGCTTGTTCACGGAGTCAGTACAATGTGTATATCTCTACGACTGAAGCCTGTGCGCGGACAGTTGGCTGTACAAACCACTTGCAGTCAGGCCCCAAGGCCCGTAGTGGCGCACTAAGCAAGTCAGAACATGAAGAGCATTTAGGCGTGGGGCTACGCTATGCACAGGCCCCTCGGGAGAAACGTGAGACGAAATGGGACACAGCGTGGCATGACTGTGTTCTGCTTAGTGTAACCAGATCGACGACGGCGAGGAAGCGAGCAACTGAATGTCATCTTCGCCCATACACGTCTGCGTTAGCTCCATAGCGGATCCACGGCCAGAGGGTCTCAAACCGTCATTCACATCATGCTCCTTTCTTCGGTCCCGTTCAGCGATGCGATTCGATAGCTCACTGAATCGAATCTTGACTGCTTATCGACAAATGATGCCGCCTATTCCCAGGTCGCCGCGCTGTTAGTTACGCCGTCCACGCAACAACGAAGGAAAACAGACGAAAGCTCTTGCTCTAGCTCCGCTGCCGTTGGAGGCAGAGTTGCTCAAACAGAAAGGAGACAAATAACATTGAAAGACCGAATGTGTATATTTTGTCAAATTATATAGATCAATGCAGTAGTCTATAGCGTCGTTTGTTTCTTTCACATGATATTAAATACATTCGATCACAAGTGCCATCTATTAACATAGTTGTGAACTCTACTCGCGCAATACATATATATATATATATATATATAGGAAAATTGACGCACACATTAAGCTTATTAAATCCCGTATATATGCAGGTATCAGCAGGAATGACCCACTGCATCGTTATGAAGTCAACGAAATGGGCTATACAATAAATATCCGTCACTTTTCACACACGTTGGTAAAACACGTTGGTGTTGCAGGTGTCCATGTGACCTTCCCGTTGAACGAGACCGTTGGAGACAGACCTCAATAATTAATATGCCTTTTATAGCATTTGTAGTAGCTTTAATTAAGAGTAATACTGACGATAGATTGAACAGTTAATATTAGACAGAACTGCTTGTTTTTTTTTAGCTTACAACGATCTTATCAGAGTTGCTATGGTCATCATTGCTTTGTCGTCTCTAGATCCCGCATAACTTTAAATGTGCATGGTCTCTAGCGTGCCTAACGTCACTGTTACTATAAGTTGATGTACCGGAACTTAGCGCTCAGTCAATATCAGTTCCGTTGATAATACGTTGATTGTCCGCATAAATACGTAAAACTACTTACTTTACAGTGACGACTTCATGCCGTCTGTAGTGGTCACAACCTGAGAAAGGATTTTTTTACGTTAGGCTCATACTGGATCTATAGTCTGCCTATTTGAATGCAAATGTCGAAGCGTAAGCTTCGCTCGTGGAACATATCAGTGCTTAGAGGCACGAAACGAAATTAAATTGACCCGTAAAATGACGTGTACTAGCATTGATTTTTTGTATCACAAAAAGCTGTATATTAAAATACTACATAATGCAATTAACATAATCATCCAGTTACTATAGACTTATGGTTTGCTTCCTTGCAGCCAACAATTATTTGCCTTCCGCTAGTCAGCATTCTTTCGCTATTTCTATCTCCTGGCAGCACCAAACGTTCAATCTATTTGTGTACAAGTATCGTATGTCTACGTAGTTGTATGCATTTGTCTATTTGTTTGTCCAGCAAAGAGCGCCTTGGGCCTATGGACAGTAGGTGCGGCACACAGGAACAGGGGCTAGGGGCGAAAGATAAAAGGAAGTCATAAAATGCCTTGCTGTTACATCCATAGCTGTGTGTGCTACTGTGAAGGCACCGACTTGTCCTATACACTTGCGAAATGTCCGTAACGATAAATCGACTGGGATGAACTTGTCGTTGTTGTATCAGCCAGAGAGTAAACGGAAGCGGCTAGCTGAAAGGAGCTAGATATAGGAAGACGGTGTGTATATCGGGAAGACTGTAGAAAGCCACTAAACTACATTGCTAGCAAGAGTGCCGAGATGGAGCTGTTTCGTTCGTGAGCGTTACATTGCAGTTTCTTCTGTCCACCATTTAAACGTGTCTTGTTGTAATGGTTCTGGTAGCCTGTTCCTCGCTAGCAAGTCTACCGTGTCACTTGTCGAATTTTCCTGTGCTTCCCCCGGCCTGTCGTTAGGTTCTGTTGTTATCGCCTGCGGTGCCCCTCGAACAGTACCCGATGGCTATCGCTGGACTCCTTCTGCTACCGGGAGCTCGGGTTTATTTTCAGCTTTTTGGACCTCTTTTTCTTTTGCCACGGTTGCTGTTTTTTGGGTTCTTTCTACAATTTTTCCTCTTTCATCCCTTTTTTCCTTTTCCGTTAGTTGATTTGTTTGGTCGCCCTGCGCGTCTGCGCCGCTACTTTTGCCGCTAGTCGCCCGAACCGCCCATATGGCCATGACCCGTCTGGCTTCTGCCCCCGTCGGCATTGCGTTCCGGCTAGAAACCAATTTATTCTATCCAAAAAGAGGAATAATAAAAAATGGCGACATCAGGGTGTATACACCTGCCCTGTTCGTCCCCCAATTTGTGTTGTGTCGCATTGGCTGAACTTCAGGCCCCTGACTGTTCGTGGTGGTTGCGGTCTGACATCTATGGAAGACTACAGGCAGTTGTGAGTGGTGAAGCCCATTGACAACAACAGCAGTATTGGAACAAGTATAGTTCTTTGGCGTCGGTAACGTGGCCAGGGGTTCGGGTCCAGGTTTGAGTCTGGAAGTGGGACTATTTACACCTTTTTTATTCGGCTGACGTGTATCGCAGTATTTTCCACTCTTTATAGACAGATGGACCTACGCGGGGTCGTAGATACGGGCGGTAAAGTACACCTTCACAAGCATACTTACACAACAGGCGAAATCGAACGAGCCAACCGATTGCCGCACACGTTAACCTACCTGGCATGCACTTTTCGTATTTGCCTGATTTTCTCAATAAGGTGCAGCTCCCCGACGCATAGGGATTCGTTCAGCTAATGCCATTCGTCCCTGCACAAGTAGAACAATCAGGCTGGGAACAGTCTGTCAGATAAGATAGACGCAGGAGGCGGCTGCCGCTTTTGGAGGATGGTATTGTTGTTTTTATGATTGTTATTATTGCCGTAACGAATGTCAGGCCGCCCGTTGAGAAGCCGACAAGGAGGACGCCGCCCGTTGAGAAGCCGACAAGGAGGACGCCGCTGGCTTATTGCCCCTTAGGAACCCGCAAGTAGAAGAAACAACCAACTAAGCCCTTGCTACGACAAGACTTAAGGATGTGCATCCCATACCGGACTCTACCCTCTAAAGGTTGAAGTGATGGTTAAGGGGTGAGGTTTTGTTAGGCCGCGTCTGTCGTGGTCAGAGAATCCTGCGTGCTTGTCCCTACCTGCTCCTGCCTCTAGCTTTAAAAAAAAAATGAGAAGGACACAGGAGATAAAAAGTGATAGATAAAACAGATATATACGTTCAAGTGATGACGAGCCAAGCTCCAGCCGAAGACGAAGAAAAACAGGATGAAATGCGGCAAAATAGCAGTAGACGAAAGGATGGAAACATCCAAAGGTCTAAGAAAATAGGGCGAAAGGAAGTACGTCAGAAAAGCAATAGCAGTAGCAGCTGAGAAGCTGTGCACGTCACCGTCGCATCAAGAGCGGACGTTGGTAGCGAGGGCAACGGCTGCCCATACTTCACGGAACTGGCCATAGGGGCAACGTTTCCACAGAGCCACTCACCCATCCAAGCCGAAGCAGAACGGCTGAATCGCAAAGGGAAAGGAGGAAGTACAGCGAGAAGTACTATGAAAAAGGCAATGGAACCTGAGTAAATAGGCAAGGAAGGTAAGGGAGATAGAAGAAAGTGGAATAGTGGGTTGTATATCGTCTTCCCTTCCAAGAGAAGAATAGCCTAGTTCAACGCCAACCGGCCCAATCCAGCCTAACTCGGCAAAGCGCCGGTCTTGTCATAATCAGGTCCTGGCGGCGGTGGTAAGGCTAAGGGTAGTTGTCGAAGGTGCGTTTGCAGGCGGAAGGAAACAGGACAAAGCCCAACCCGCTTTTCTTTGTGGCCTGTCGAAGGCCAATGGTAAAAGCAAAGGAGCAGCCAGCCAGTCAGCCTACCGGTTTGTGTAGTCTACCATGAGTAGGCCATGGCTATAGTTAGTAGAAATATGCAGTAGAAGAATACTAGCTATGTAGGCCGCCGTCGTTCGAGTTGAGACGCAAGCACCCGCTTGGCCCTAGTGCATGATTGATATCTGTGCCACCCGCCACCGACAGAGCTCTTGCAGATACTTGGGGAGCCAGCGTAGCCTGAGCTTACCGCGACGCTGTGCGTCCTTCTACCATTACTTCTTCTGAGGATGCTCCGAGGGCCACCGATGTGCTCCAGAGAACGCGGCCTGAGAAATACGACGGGAAGGCAAAATAGAGACAGAAATGGTTAGAGCGAAGGCCAGGACAAAAAGATGAGAGGGCTGATGAGAAAAGTGACTCCACTGCCTTGAAGACTATCATTGCCAGGCAATAAGCAGGCCTAGAAGACGTTGCAAGCAGCGGCATTCGATCGAACAGCCAGCTTGAGTTCCGTCGGGTTTTGGGACTTCGCGGCGAACCGTTCTTTTGCTGAATGACTTCCCGGTGGAAAGAATATCTTCATAGATTTCTTAAATCTGAGTTCGAGTAACGATGAACTAGTGATCGATCAAAACTGAGAAGTTGAAATTGAGAATTGTTCGAACTAACAGTTGTTAGATTATTACGTACGTAAATGTTTAGATGCATATGTTATTACTTTAGCGCTTCGTATTGAAGCTTACGTTCGTCGTTTACTATTCTTTTATCATAGGTCAGTCACGTGAGGATTTGTCAATGAACACATACGGGAAATGCTCGAAAGATCCTGTTAACGATATCATGTACAATAATGATCACGAGACTTTATATTGCCCATATGCAGCACAACAAGCAGCTGAAGCGTTCAATTTCAAAGGTGACATGGTAGCTGAGACCTTGAGAAGGGTCGCGAAGAACAAAGAACACACCTACGAGGTACCTCATCGAATCAGGGTGAGACTCAGTTGTTTTTGACCGGATTGATCTTCATTTGTTTTAACAATTTATAAAGGAACAAGGAAGGGCAAACCTAACAAGACGAGCAGGTTTTAAATGTCTTTGCTTATCGACAATAGGTGGCCCCTTAGCTCAATAAAAACAAGGAGACCCGCTCAATACAAGGCCTTCGTTAGTGTTTATGATGCGTCTGTGCGTCTTTTGTCTGTTTCACAGGCTGTGCAACAAGGTTACTGCAATGGAGTGTCATCCTCAGCCACGTTAGACCGCACAGCGATGGGTCAAACCCCGAAACAGAAGTATCGCCCTTTATCGCTAGGTCGGTCGTTCGACCAGGATCTGTTTGAAGAGGATCTTGAAGGTGGGTCGCTGTACTGATAGAAAAGAGGGAAAGCGCTTGCGTAGCTTAAGAGCCTCCTCATCTTTCTTTTTGTTCTCATTTCCCCTTCACCAGTGCCGCTTTACCGTCGCTGTAACTATCAAATCAATACAATATCTGATATGACTACTTTCTATAGCCATCCACTGGAGTTCCCTCGAGTTTGTCCAACAGCCTTACCAAAACCTGGAAAGTTTAGCGATGCTCGCTTTTTTTAGATCCCCCCCCCCTCCGCTTGTACGCTTTGGGCAGAAGACGAGAAAAACTTGCTGCACTCGCTTCAAAGCCTTGGGTAAAGGCTGCTCCGAGGTGAAGAGGTTGAGCCTTTACGACCGCGAATCTGCTGGTAGCGCTTTTTAGGCTAAAGACTCTTTAACAGCGACTGCCTGCTTTTCAATTCCGTTCTTCGTAGTTAGCTAGCTAGTTTGGTGTGCATTGAACTTCCGCTGTTGTGGTGTCCAGATCGGTTTCGCCTCGCTTTAAAGTCAGGTCGCGAGGATTAGAAGCCGACCGAAGCCGAGGTTGACTGCTTGCTTCCTAATTGGCTGGGGTTTTACAAGTGGAATTGCTCTGCAGGGCAGAAAGCAGTGGACTTCTTCGCCTGAAGGGGTGGACACAGTCCGTGCAATAGAGCACTAGAAAATGAAGGGGAAACTTGGAAGTGACGCTTGGACGAAAAGCACAAGCGGAGTTAATGTCCGTATGACTGCTCTCTCTATCTTGTCTTTGGCATCCATCTATGAGCGGTGTTAGTTTTACTAACACCGTTAACTTTAGTCATAGTATTAGATTCATTTAGTGAGGCACACCGTGAGGAAGATTAGTCACTCCTAAGCTAGTCGCATGTAACTGAGTTTTCCAGGGTTCTTATCGTAAGCATATCATGCATATTCTGAATGTCAATGAGTTGGCTAGAGAGTCCATGTGATATTGGAATGCTTAAAGGTGATTGTAAAGTCTGTACGCCATCAGCAACCTTTAGCTCATCTTCAGCAAATGTTAGCAAGTCCAACTTGATTTTAGTTGATAGGTAACGAACAACTTCTACAACTGATGGCCCTTCAACGTGTTTTGCAGAATGCAGTAGTGTTGTATATATAGAGGTATCCTAATCGCAAGCGCTGCAAACGCGCTTCGTCCGTGTCTAGTCTAACAACCTGCGTGTGGGTACATATATGTACGTGTTTAGCGGTGCGCGGTGCACGTATCAAAATACCCGAAACGCAAACCAGTACGATGCATGGGTCAAACGTAGCAAAGCTGCCGTGATACTTACAAAATATAGAGCAGCCGGCTGTCCACTTAGTAGTAAACCGTGTGAGTCTAGCTATAATAACGGTATTATATCGACAAAACGCCATAAACAACACCCGGTTATCCAACATCATTGCTTAGCCTTATGTGTATAGGTATTTTTACCTAAAAAGTATATTCTATAGTATTAAATTTCAATTTTAAATTGTACGTTACTGGAACTGGTCTTAAGTTGGTGTTATCATCAATTGTGCTAGTGACTTCATTAGTGCAACTGGCGTCAGTAGGTCAGCTATCCTGAATGGAAGACGAAATTTCAAGTGTTCTTTAGAATGATTAATCCTAGCCCACGACGGCATATTAGGTCAGTGATACTCTTATGGACAGGCGCATATAAGCCTTAGTCTACTTACAACCGCTCGTGTCAATGCTAAACCACGCACATGTGTTTGTCCATGGGTGAAAATGTATAAAACTTCTATATAAAATAGTTCGTCGGGATGACCTTTAGGAACTAGGTCAGTGTCCGTTCTGTTGCTTGTGCTTACTAGCGAAAGTTTTTGACAAAAATAACAATATCTATCATGACGACAATAATTCCTTTGTTTTAACACGCCTACCGCCTTTTTATCCTTCGCCGTGTTTCCCTCACTAAACGTCATCGCTTGTAGTAGCGATAGCAACACGAATAGACGCCGGCCATTGTAACGTTCAATAAGGACGCTATGTTACGAGTACTGTTCGATCAGACCCATTGCCACCACACCCACTGCCACGACTAACTCCGTCAATACTGCTCTGTCGGTTCGAATCCTGACTATCTAGTTTTGGAACCCGTGCTTACTTGCACATACATACACGCACAGATACTCGGACCTATACTCCCACAAAAGGAGTTCCCATAGTTCTCGTTCGGAAAGTTCCCATAGTTCTCGTTCGGAAAGTTCGCACTGTTTGGCAGCGGCTGTATTCTTTTATCCCTAGTATTGGCCGGGCATATTCTGTAGACCTTGCCTCGACGTCGCTTCTCACTTTGTTTTGGCCAAGTTGACTGGCGTATCCTGATTTATATTGATAGAAAACGAAGAATAAAAAGGCAACTGGGAACAAGCAAAGGCTTCACTGTGAGGAACTCCGCCAGCAATGGCCCTCCCGTGGGGCAATCTGGAGCGGAATGCACGCGGTGCATTTTTTATTGCTGGCGCTTTGCCCGCCCTCACCGTATCGTACTGGTTGCGAGCGTTCTTCTCACCGTGAGCCTCATACCAATTCCGACGATGTTGCTTCCGCTGCAGATCCTCCTCTTCTGCTGGGGGCAACCATTGAGCAATCTTTTCGTGGCTCGTTCGTCATAGACATACGCCCCCATAGTCTTGCCGAGAAAATCCGGCGTTGGTGCGTCCCGTGAAGGAAATTGTGAGTGATGATGAAAAGGAAAAGCTATAGATGGAAAAGAGGAAAAAGAGGACTGTGCCGCGAGATCCGAATACAACTAGCGCTGGCAACAGCCGAGCAGAAGGAGGCACGCGTAAGGTTAGTTCCAGAAAGCCGGCAGGCATAGATGTGAACTACGCGTCCGTCTCGTTATTGCACCTATGTATGTCAGGACACGGAAGCCCAGAGACTATTGTAGCGCAATCAGACACATAAATAGGTTTGTGCTTTTCTTATTGTCCTGTATTTTCATTGTACTCATACGTATCTCCAATTTCGTGAGTGAACTTATTATCACAAACACCTTAACTGTGAGCGCATGGAAGGAAAAAGCCTTAAAGCACGCTACCACTCGCTGCAGGACAATGGCCAATAATGCGCACAGTACGGCTACAGAATTAGCAAACTGACGAAGAAGGAGGCGATGCCTGGAAGTGAATGCAATTTTCACTGCATTTCTACGCGCCTCTAGTGCCAAGTATACAGATTTCTTTGCATTATTGCATTGCAATGGAGACTTGTCTTGCAGTGGACAACCTTTGCGTTCATTTGCACCGATGTTTCTCTGACTTCCTTTTTCATTATTCCCCTATAATACAATTAGAGGAATTAACAAATTAGGCAGTGAGACGAAAAGGGCCATGCGCAGGAAGCTGAACGGAGAAGGAACGAATAGTCCTGTAAAATAACCGGGAACAGAGCTGGGCGCCATAAAAAACCGAACACCAGCCACAGCAATAATAGAAAGAAACAAACAATAGTACGAAAGGCCTTCCATTATCAGCATGAACGCCTACGCCCAAAGCCCTTCCGCTAAAGGTTCTTCTTTTTTCAGTATTTTCGCCAAAGGCTATTGGCCCGAGATAGTCCGAGGCAAAACCCTCCTTAAGTAGGGTAACGATTGACGAGCGATGAACGCATAGAGTTAGCGTTCCCATTGCGTGCTGATTCATGATGAAACAGCGCTCACGGCACCCTTACCATTTTCATTTCTAACTGTAAGGTTAGAGGAAACGGGATAATGGAAGGCGGAGCACTGCGTTGATGGTTGGGATCGATACGATGTGTGACGGAAGGAGGTGATGGACTGGTAAAGGAACGCGGTGCAGGGGAAACTGCAACGGAAGGGGAACCAGCCGTGCTTCGTTGAACTCCATTGGGGCGCGTTTCAAGGTGGCGATAAGAATGATGCAAGTGTGATTAGTAAGTAGTTATTTGTTAATGAATAGGAAGGTTGTAAAGGGTTAAAATGGGATAAATGCGCTGCTGCTGCGGGATAAAGAATGAGTGTGGAGGGATGATTGGAGCCGATTGACGGCAATATCAAAGTGGAGGTAGCAGAACGCTGATACAGATCGGGAGTTTCCCAGCTATTTCCTCCAATAAATAGGAGCAATGAAATGGGCGACAATGACATCACTGACCGGTAAAGTGATGATCGGTCGGTAATTTTGCTACCAGGAATGAGAAGCTTCACATTTAGAGTCAACGAGAGAGAACGGAACCAAAGTCATAGTTTCGTAATTGGGAGCAGGCGAGAGATAGTGGGGGAGCAGAAGGGAGATAATGCGTTAGTGCTACTTTCCTTTGATAAGATCTGTTATTTAGTTTTCTTAAATGCAATTGGCCTTAAATTTTCCTCATAAAGCTAAAATTGCTCCAATTTTGTTTGCTAAGGCTGACCGCGGTTAGCCATTGCTTGACCTAATGCTGCTTCCCCCACATAGTCTGTATCATAAGTATGTTAACATAACTACTGCCCCGTCAAACGTAGTTGACCGTACTCCGCCACACTGGGTACGTGGCAGAAGACACGAACTCAATTAACGAACTTCTGACGCCACTGCCCCCACTGAGCCCATATGTTCGTCCGTGTATACTTACCACCCATGTGCAAAAGAGGATCTACTTTGAACACTTTGAAATAAAGAGTGCCTAGTAGAGAAGTTGGGTGATGGTAATGGTTGTCTTGGTAGTGAAACTTTCTCGGCTGGCTTACTCCAGTCCCTAGCCTATGAATAGCTATTGTATGCAATTCTACTCTAAGTATTTGCCGGTTCGACTCTATCGATGGAATCCTCAGTGGACCTAGTTACCCTCGGCACAGTACAATACAAAATTATATAGGGGCCCGGGTTCTAACAGCTTAAAGGAATCGATACCAAGCAGCAGTGACAGCAGCACTTGGCGGCAGGATACAAAAGATCGAAAACTGCTAACTGTCAGAACTGATAGTAGCGAAGATGGTAAAATTAGGTTGGCTCCTTGCTGCGGTAGGCTCCAGCTGAAAAAAGATACCCAGTGCCCCATTGTTCCAACATTATACTTCAGGTTAGCATCGGCACTGTACCTTGAAGTTCAACTGTTTAAAAAAGATATTTAAAGAAAAGAAAAGACGTGCGTTGATTGCATAACTAACACAACCAGCCTATAGCGTCTAAAGCGAGTGTCGTGCTATCGTGGTGCTCACTGAATAAGAAAGGAATCGTGGGGTGGGCGATATTTTTACAGGGTTGAATTATCTAAAAGAATTAGGTTGGGTGGAGGAAGTAGACGAGACCTAGGTTTCGAGTATCGTATAGGTGGAAATGGCTGCAGTGTATTTTTCAACCGCTTTCCACTTATTTTGCTGTAGACGGGTGAGCCTTTTCGGTGTTTGGCAGCAGCAAACGATGACGCTACAAGGTTACGGCAAGATTTCCAGAATGGCATGAAGAAGGCGAAGGTTAAATTAGAAAAAAAAGGGGGGGGGGGGCTGGGGAAAACTGCCCTGTCATATATGATAGGAGTTCCTAATCGAGCTAACAGCAGAAACAGAATGGGGCTGACTGCAGCTGGTGGAAACCCATGAAGAGGGAAGCGCCGTTGAGGGCGCTGGTAGTGCCGGGGTGATACACCTGGAAGGTAATTTACCAGCCGCAGACGCGCCAGAGATCAGAGCAGAGCGGATAGGCGGACGCCGAGCTCGTCGAGATTCGTCCGACGTGTTCCTCGATGTTTTTCCCTGCCGACTACCTCGTAGTTTTTCTTGCTGAATCTCATTTTCAGAGGGTGCAATAAATGAAGAATTTTTCTTCCACCCCGCCTTGGTAGCAGCGTTTGTCATACGATCGAGCTTGACGTGCCAATGCCCGTACGGGCGGATCTGAGCCAATGAAGCGCAATCTGAGGCAAGACTGCGATGGTAGGCAAGCGAACAGCCCTCTGACAACAGCAGGGTAAACCGTAGTAAACTGCCAAATCATCTAGCATCGACTGCATGAACTGGTTAACTAGATGTTTCAGCCGTAGCTGCGTAGTTATGGCTACAAACCAGTCGATTTCTTTTTTGGTAAGCCAAGCGCTGGTGAAAATCTTGCAGTGCCTTTTACTATTTTTGAGGCTCGTTGCCCATTTTGGATAACGTATGGTTGCATGTAGGTATTTGTCTGTGAGTGAAAGTAACGATGTTCCAATTACACGTGCCGACAATATGGCGGCTGCGATCTTCGAGGGTCGTAGCTAGATCTGGTAGTCATTGGCTATACGAATGATATGCAGCTGTTCGCTATATGTTTATGGAAACACTTCCGAATAGGTTTT